CTTCTTTCTACAGTAAGCCCAGCCAAGACTAAGTAATTATTGGACCATCGAATAGTCGCTCTCACCCAATTAGGTTACAACATACAGTTGTACTCTTCAGACATAATATAGACAAATGTGTATTCTTTCTTTAATGCTGTACATATAATGTGTCCAGAATATTTTAGGATAAAAATCGGCAGGCCTTTTTTTTTAAATCGAAGTTTACAAACAGCATGAAAATCAATTCCACCTACAGAGCCATCTGCCTTCTTGTCCCCAACTCAATGCTGGCATATTGGCCCAGTTAAAAAAAATCGGTGGAAGTTGAACTGTCTAGGAAACTATGAAGACAAAATAGGAGACTTAGAGAATATTAGATGCCAGGATTAGCGCACCTTGTCTATAGAATATGGTCATTATTAATTTTAATTGTAATTAGTTCATCCTTGCAGCATACGTTTACTAAATGGAGGGAATTTCAGCATTTCAATCGAATTCAATTGGAATTAGAGTATGTAGGTTGTTTTGAGATGTACACTTGTTACCTAACCGCTCGAAAATGTGAAAAAAGGGGGCCACATTGGATTCCAATACCATACCTAAAAGGGGGCATCTAATCTTTGGAAAAAAATGAAGAGGACTTATCAGCGTTCCAGTCACAAATGCATGTAAGCATAAATATGTACTGTGAAGCGTGAATTGCATGCATCCTTCTTTTGGCTTGCAAAGGACATTACATATGGTGACCTACAAATACTAAAGTAGAAAAAAATTCATTTTTTGCAATTTTCATCGGGTTAGGTTAAGTCGTGAAACGACCGATTCAGATGTAACAAATTTTGTGTCCGGATAACAGAGTCAGCAAACTTGAACATCATGTCCGTCGTGTCATGGATGAAACCATACCCAATAAATAATCGAGCCAAAAATTCGATTATCTATTATTATTATTATTATGCAAGCTTTTCGTAGAAATCAAAACGCTAAAGTTAATGGGAGCTTCTTCTTCGCTTTTTTTGTTCCCTTGTTCTTTATATATATGATGACTCCCGAAGAAGGATCCCTGTGATTATAAACTAATGAACCATCAAATCATTTAGAAATATGAGTTGCTCGGTCAAACATATCTTGATCATGTTACATACTTTTCGAGTGGTCCAATCCATGTCAACAAATAGTAATTTTTGTTTCATAAAGAATGATGATCCCCACGTATTGTAGGTCACCAAAAGTTACTTTTGTTGTTAGCACGATAAGACAAATGTCAACCGATAATTGGTGGCCTCATCGCCACATCATCTAAGGGGATTTCATTTTCAATCTAGGCGCAATTAGTCCGCTCGAATCCCTCCTTTTATTCTTTTATTTTTTTTTCGACCGCATAACCTACTAACGGATACTTGATTAGTTATCGTAACACATCGAATGTTATTTTCCAAACATCCGATGTAGCCATGACAGATATTACAATCAGACTAATCAGTAAAGTAAGATCCACCTCACAATAATGTAATGCTAATATCAAATAACAAAAAATTAAGCAAATGGAGATAAATCAGGTTCTTACCGCGTTAAAGTCCAAGAATGCAATTTTTTATCTAGGGCACATTAGGATGGACCACATCGGAAAATTTTGTCCCTACCCACTAAAAATTAAAGCGCACATGTACGATTTTCCCCCCCTCTTGAATGCACACACCCTGGAAATTAGATATTGTGCACAGTGATGTCCAAATTTTTGCTATTTCGTGCAAACTAGTTGCTAAAAACTTTAAATGGCTTCACGCGCATCAATAATTACGCTGACACCCCCACACGATTTCAGCAATTCCCATTTTTGGCCCTTCTAGATACATCAATTTACACCAATAGCCCCCGTGGGCTCCGCAACTTTAAGCCAACCTAATTAAAAAATAAATAAAAGAAATACTAGGAGGACAAAATTAAATAATTTGGTAGGGCCTGGCAAAAAATTGAATTAGCTAAGTGGGGACCGTTGGTCGTCACTTTCGTGGGGGGGTCGTCTCCGGTGTCCACGTTGACGAACGAAGAAGAATCGTCCATTCTTTTCCCACGTATCTCTTCATCTTCGAATAAAGAGAGAAACTGTTGGTATTCCTAAAGAGCAACATAGGATTAGTTTCTTGCCACAACATTAATTTCGAGGACGACTTTGAGCTACGGAAAAACTCTAAATTATAATGGGAATTAATTGGCCGACCGATTGCTAAATGGTTATATTGGAAAAAATTTGATATGATTGCGCTGTAGTGGAGTTCAGGGACTGTTTTTATTTGGATGACCGAATAATGCATGGCACCGACATTACATTTACTTGGACTGTTCTACGATATCGTGACATTAGGAACATAAACAAGTTTGCCAAATAGTGCTGTGGTGATATATGATTGGTACCAGATCAAACATCTCTATTTGAAAAATTAAAAGCAATAAAAGCACATGGAAAAGGTTAAAAAAAAAAAAAGGAGAGAGATGGAGAGGCGACGATGTTAGGTCAATGGTGCGATCATGATCTAGGTTGCGACACATTGTCCATGCCTTCATCCTCTCTATCTATCCCTCAATCTTCACTTTTTTCTCCGTGTTTTTCCTCTTCCCTAATATGGTGCCTTACTACTATGTCATCACAGGTATCTTGCAAGGGAAAATTCGATAAAGAATGGTTAAAGTAATTGAAAAGGAAAAACGCTAATTTTGAGATATCACGTCACGATAATTGGACACGTTGATAACCCAGCTCCAATTCTATCTTTTAATTCAAATGACCATGAATGGAACTTATTCACCAACCCCAGCATTTCTAATCCCTACTTTCCATGCACAAACTTGATGTGCCATAATTAAAAATTAAAGAAGAAATCGAGTCAACTTTATCTTGCCTTGATAGAATCCCATGTTCAAAAGGAACATGTGTACTTGTGAGAACGGGGCTCCTCGTGTCTACAGATGATTGGAAAAAGAGAACCTGTCTCTTTCTAAGGAAAAAAAAGTTGGCCCCCCCATTGACTTTTAAAATAAGGAAAACAAAAATAAAAGTAAGAAAAAAAAGGAAAAGAAAATTTGATGCCACCAGGAAATATGAACGATGATGTCTTGTGACTTGTCAATTGGCATCTAACTCACTGTGCTTTGCGCTTGTTGCGAATGAGATGGGAAAAGTCAGAGCCCCCACTTACTTCTTTAACATTTCGTGCAATCATTTTCCATCTTTTATGATTCTTTTATCTCAAATCTTCTTTTTCTTTTCCTTTTTTTTTTTTTTTGATAATCGAGGTGTCTCTGGCTCCCACAAATTATACGCGCACTCTCGCCTATTCCCTGTGAGACTAAAGACAACAACCCACCGCCACGCCCCACTTAAATTACAAGTGCTCGGCCGTGACCGAACCTGACGCCACATACTTAACCACACAATCCCAAATACGCCCTAACCAACTGAGCTACCCATGGGTGGGTTCTTTTTTTTTTTTTTTTTACACAATCGCGCAAAAGATTATACGAATTTTTCTTAATTGTAATTTGTATCCTTTCCCATTCAAGAAATCAAAGACAGAATGGAAACGCCGATATTATAAATTTTACATCCTTCGTCCGCATTCAATGTAAAGAACTCGGTCAGGGTCAAGTTTGAGGATACAGTGGTGTGAATTCGAAAAGGGGGAAGGCCCACGAGACAAAAACCGAATCATTTAAGGTCTGTCCGTGGTAATTTGAAAATTCGAGGGGCCAAGATGTAATTCCCCTTCTCCAAAAATTCACATTCAAGAAGCGAAACGAGTGGTGGCTCCAATGTGGAAGGACCATGACATTATTATGGCTGATAGATGTTCCGGTAGGTTTGGCTTGAAGATGTACTAATTATTTCTCATTGTTTTTTACTCTTTGATTTCATGACTATGGTTGGTCAACGACTTGGGAATTGGAATTAATACTTCTTTATATTGTTTAGTAATTTTAGTAACCACATTAATATGAAGACTACTTAAATAGCTGAAAAAAAATATTAGGAGAGGTAGTGCCAAGAATCAATAGAGTAACCGGGCCAAATTACAATCATTTGTTATTAACCAATCAGTTTTTCGAAAGTCCAACATTTATACATATAAGAAGTATAATCCTGGGGAATAAAGATTTTCCAGGAAATCACAGTGACTAATAATTAAATAATATGCAGAATCGAAATTTTCATGACTAGCGTAGAAATTGTTGTATTGCAATCTTTCTTTTTCATAATGTGAATCCCGAAGAGCAATTTGGACAATTAGAACGTTTCAATAAGTCAATACATAACAGGAGAAGTTATAAAAAGAGTGTTAGAATATTCAATAAAAATTTGTAATATTAAAACTCATTGAAATTATTATGTTTTATTTGTTGATTAGAGCTCACGGTAAGAAACGAGAGAGACATAAATCCTAGTCGGGTGCAAAACGAGTCGACAGTGTAAGAAAAACACCCGTCTTAAGGAGAATCATCAATTCCTTTCAAATTAGAGCCTTACATATCGTCCTTAAGAGATAATCTTTAACGAGCATATCGTTATTTTATATTTTCCAGTATGATCCACATCATATCCAAAGGAGAGACGAAGTAATTTCAAGAGCGCGCACCAACTGGTTCATATATTATACGACATGCTTACACGACAAAACAAGACACGACTCAAACACACACAGAAATTACGAAAGTAATATGGAAACACAACAAAGTTTCATAATTAGTAATTTCTTCACGATCTAATTATTTTCCATGTTGACATAATAGCGCAAATTATGGGATGATCACGGAGTACGATAATGGCGCGTGAAGGCTGTACTCATCGTTGCGTCGAATAGTCAAATGAGAGTGTCCGGAGGATGACAGGCTGACTCTCGTAGGAAGACCTGCGAGATCGACCCAACGCTTATAATATTCGGCAAAACCCCAACGACTTCCGCAGTCTTTCTGTTCACTTCGAGAAGCCCAACTAATCTCATCTGCCCCTTTTCAAAACTTTTTTTTCCTCCAATTTTTTCCATTTGATTTCTCCTGCCACTCCAAGAACACTGTATCCCATCTGGGCCTTTCCCAAATTCAATTCTTTTTCCCGTTAATATATCGTCTCCCTCTCTTTTCTCTGAATCTTGCTCTTGGGTTTTGTCTGTGTGTGTGTGTTTGTGTGAGAGAGAGGAGAGAGAGAGAGAGAGAGAGGAGAGAGAGAGAGAGAGAGAGAGAGAGAGAGAGCGGAGAGAAGCGAGTGGTTGAGCTGAAACTGTAGCATGGAGATCTGCGTCCGAGCGGCAACTTGGAGCTTGCTTGAGGAAGAAGCATTTCGAGCCAGGGCTCCTCGGAGCAATGAGTGTTAGCTCGATCCAACGTTGAAAAAAGTGTGTCTCTCTCCCCTCCGCAAGAATCTTTTCAGCTAGCAACGAGCTAACTTTTGAGCGACCGGGATAGCTTCCAATCTTCTTCTTGAAGACTGTATCTTCCCGTTTCGGTCTCGCCGAGAAAAAAGGCCAAAAAGAGGATGCCCATTTGTCTCTCTCTCTCCCTCACATTCCTTCTTCAGCTCAAGATTTTTGCGGCTATTTGCTGCTGTAGCTCTGATGCCAACTTTTCCACATTCTTGAAGGGAAAGAAAAATTAAGGTCCTCCCTCTCTCCAGTTTTGAGAAATTTGTTGGGATTGTGGAAATGGGTAATGGAGATTCAAGCAAGATTTGGGATTCAAGCTACATTGGGCTCACTCGTTGAATTCTTTTGGGTATAATGCAGAGGAGGCTCCAGGGGGAGTGAAGATTGTGAGGAGCGAGAATGAGGGGAAATGGATCTCTTTTTTGCACTGATTTCAAAGGTTAATTTTAAAGAAGGTAGCTGCTTGCTTTCTTGAAAACATCTCAGTTTCACCGTTAGGGAATGATTCCCAGTTTTGCTCAGCTTGTTCAAAGCAAGTTTTTGTCAAGTCTGGGTCTAGATTTGAACTGGACTTGTGGTTCTCCTGATAGTTCGTTCATTTTTATTCAGTTTCATTTTTTCCTGATAGTTTTGCATGCGTAGAAATCTAGTTGCTGTCCAGAATGCTGGTTTATTTTTGGAATTACAAAAGCCTCGTATTTGAGGATTTGATGTATCTGAAGATGTGTTGTGTTATTCCCTATTTTTGTGGACCTAAGAAATGGGCATTCAACTGAGATCATTATCCTCCAAATAATTCTCACACTGGCCTTGCGGGTGTTAGTTCAAGTACGACCGAACTGCATCATATGTCACCACAAGCCTGTGAAATCGTGAAATTACTGTATTTGCTTTTCTTTCCATATGTTTGTAAATGCTTTTGTTCTCGGTAAGTCAGGGCATTGCTTTGCCTGAAACCTTTTGATGATTGTTATCACCGCAAGCCGGTAAAATCGTGAAATTACTGTAATTGCTTGTCCTTCCATATGTTTGTAAATGCTTTTGTTCTCGGTAAGTCAGGCCATTGCTTTGTCTGAAACATATTGAAGATTGTGATTCTTTCATGTGAAGGTTTAGAGTGCCATTCTCTCCTACTTTTGCCACGCTGCTTTTCTCTATGTATTTTTCAGCGGATCCAAAGTTGAACATGCTTTGACTAATAAAGAGATAAAAGCTTCAAGGAGGGATTTTATCCTTAATGTGGTCCTGTGTGCTCCAGTGCTTTGGCTTTTCTTTGAAGGAACAGGAATCTTTAAAGTGTCTTCTCTTTTTTCTTGGCTAATGTTCATCGGATTAGAGACTCTTTAGTCCTATAATGATATACCAGAAGACTCTTTTTTCAGGATAAGTCCCTGGACTAATGTCATGCTGACAAACAACTATATGTGAGATGCTTGTGTGATTTTGAGATGATGAACAAAAGAAAATAACGCATTGCTATTAACTAAAGTTAGCCTGAAGATAATGTAGCTACATTCCCTTCACCTGTTCAATTTTATGCTGTTCTAAATAAAGTGTTTGTAGGATATCTTTCTTAACCCTTTGCTATTTCCTGCTCTGTGGGGACTCTACTTGAAGTGACTACGTCCTGGATCCACCGATCCCCCACTGTGGGTACTTCTTATGTTTCCCCTTGTCCATGAACTACTGTTTAGCTATTGTTCATGTGCTTCACTTACGTGTGATTAGGGCAGTTGCTCAGTTAACATCTACTGATTTTCCTCAGTGAATAATACCCTTTTGACTAACAAAAAAGGCAACCCGTTGAATTATAAATCTAAACAAGTACATTCCTTCTGCCTTTTGTTGCTTCTATGTGGGGACCTGCTTTATTCATAGTTATACTTTTTCTAGCTTTTCATCTCAAGAAGTCTCCATTGTTTACAGAGGTTTTTATGACTGGACATATTCCTTAATTATATTTGAGCATTTCTTTGTGTAGTTTTGCCATACTCATCATTTTACTCTTTTCCTTGGAAAAGTAAATTAAATGTCTCCATTTATTGATGAAGGCTCCATGAAGTTGATTATTCTTTACCTTTACTACTTGGCCAGGGAATAGGAAGCAACTGCTGATATTCCACTTATCACATTGCAATATTTTACTATAGAAGACCATGAAGCGACACTTCTTCACAGCAATACCTTTTCTCTTGCTCTTGTACATACTTCTCCGAGCAAATGCCGATTTGGATTCAGATAAGCAGGCACTCCTGCAATTTGCGAATGCCGTCCCTCATGGAAGGAAACTGAACTGGACTGCTAGTTCTCCCATCTGTACTTCTTGGGTCGGTATCACCTGCTCCCAAAATCGTACTCGTGTAATTGCCCTTCGGCTCCCTGGAACTGGACTTTTTGGTCCTATTCCGGCCAACACTTTGGGGAAGCTTGATGCGCTCATGGCACTTAGCCTTAGATCCAATCGCCTAAGTGGCAATTTGCCATCTGATGTACTCTCTCTTCCTTCCCTCCGCATCATCAACTTACAAAGTAATAATCTTTCGGGTGACCTACCCTCTTCACTCTCTCCCCAGCTCAGTGTGGTTGATCTATCCTTCAATGCCTTCACTGGAGAAATCCCGCCTGAAATTAGAAACTTGACCCATCTTACCATTTTGAACCTCCAAAATAATTCATTTCTGGGGTCAATCCCCGATCTTAGACAAAGTAGGCTGAAGCAGTTGAACTTGAGCTATAACCATCTAAACGGTTCAATTCCATCTGGGATCCAAAGGTTCCCAGTGTCTTCCTTTTTAGGGAACCCTTTGCTATGTGGCAAGCCTCTGAATGCGTGTTCTTCGATCAGCCCATCACCTTCTCCCTCACCTTCCATCTTACCATCCCCACCACGAGAAAAATCCAAGAGGAAACTAAGTCTTGGAATTATTATTGCCATTGCAGTTGGAGGTACTCTAGTGCTATCTCTTCTCTTGCTGGCATTAATTTTATGTTGCTTGAAGAAAAAACAGAGTGAAGATGGTCCCTCGATGAAAGGTAAAGGAGTCCGGACTGATAAGCCTGAAGACTTTAGCAGTGGGGTCCAATCGGCGGAGAAAAACCGGCTTGTGTACTTTGAAGGTTGTTCTCACAGTTTTGACCTCGAAGATCTACTGAAAGCTTCAGCAGAAGTTCTAGGCAAGGGAAGTTGTGGTACCACATACAAAGCCATCTTGGAGGATGGGACCACCGTGGTGGTGAAAAGGCTGAAGGAAGTGGTGGCAGAGAAAAGAGAGTTTGAGCAGCAGATGGAGAACGTGCAGAGGGTAGGACAGCATCCGAACGTCATTCCAATCCGTGCGTATTACTACTCAAAAGATGAGAAGCTCCTCATATATGACTATATAACAGGAGGCAACTTCTCCTCGTTGCTGCACGGTATGCTTTACCTAGTCAATTTGGTATATTATTTATACAATTTTCTCAACCAATGAATCCAGGTTTCACTGATCATTTATGTAGATGTGTACCGTGTGCATAAATTAAGAGATGTAATGGAAAGCAATGACCTGAAAATATCATGATGAGGTGATCTTGATTATCAAGTAATTGTTCTTTTGAACAAGCTTGGTCTTGTGTTAGTAGCCTGAGACTATGGCCTAGAGAGCAGACTATAAAAGTCCAATCTTTTGGCTGTGAGGAGTGATTTCCAATTTTATTGCTTGAGGTAAGCGAAAACCAAAGTTATGAAAATTGTCAGAAAGAAGCTCCTCATCATAACCAGTCATGCTGTGGATAGGCACATAATGTAAGGAAAGACATCAAAATCACAGCGTGACATTGATCAAATTGATGACCAAGTAAAGTCCTCCATCGTTATGCTCCAATTAATTTAAATGTCCAAGCACAATGTAGATAATGTCTTGGTTGAGGTTGATATGAGAGCAATGAGAATGAAGGCCAAGCAATTGGCATGCATTCTGCACCAGTGCACGAGACATAGAATAGAACTTGAGATAATTGATATACACATGTACTATTAGTATAAGTGTCCAACTGTCAGGGTCGATGTCTTGTATGGACAGAACAATGCTAATGTCAATGCATGGATATTGTCATGTTACCTAGAAACATCTTTTGTAGGTTGCCTCCTGTTTGCTGCATTGCTGACCTTTCCTTCCGATAATGATTTGCAGAAGGTGCGAGACAACCACTGGACTGGGCATCACGGGTGAAGATTTCTCTAGGAGTGGCTAAAGGCATTGCTCACATCCATTCGGCCGGAGGTGGGAGGTTCATCCATGGCAACATCAAGTCCTCCAATGTCCTCCTCACTCAGGACCTTCAAGGTTGCATCTCGGAGTTTGGCCTGACTCCTCTGATCCGCACTCCTGCAGTGCCTCCTAGAAGTGCAGGTTATCGGGCCCCTGAAGTCATAAAAACTCGGAAACCCTCACAAAAATCAGACATCTACAGTTTCGGGGTACTACTCCTCGAGATGTTGACTGGAAAGTCACCCATCCAATCTCCTAGACGCGAGGATGTCTTCGATCTGCCTAGGTGGGTCCAGTCCGTTGTTAGAGAGGAATGGACAGCCGAGGTGTTTGACGAGGAGCTACTCAAGGACGGAAATATCGAAGAGGAGTTGGTGGAAATGCTTAAAATAGCATTGGCGTGCGTAGACCGTATGCCTGATACAAGACCTCCGATGGGGGAAGTCGTTAAGATGATTGAAGAAGTTCGGCCATCCGAAATAGAAAATCCTCCATCATCGTAGAATAAGTCAGAAAGCTTGCTTACACTTAAATCCCATTTGTTTGGCTTAGCATTCGTGTCATGAATATAGATTCAGATTCTGGGGGCTGGAAATGTACAAAATCTGAAACACCATGAAGATTGCAGGAGTGATATTTCTTGTTTAATTTTGTCTAGGAACTAATTTGAGAGTCAGAGTGTTCTTTGGCTTAGCATTCGTGTCATGAAAATAGATTCAGATTCTTGGGACTGGAAATGTACAAAATCTGAAACACCAGGAAGATTGCAAGAGTGATTTTTCTTGTTTGATTTTGTCTAGGAACTAATTTGAGAGTTACAGTGTCACAGTTCTTACGTTGTCGTCTTTCAATGAACTGACCAGGATGAAAAAGTGCTTTCTATCCTATCATTTAGTCAATACTCACTCGTTTCTAAATTTTTTGTGATACGACTTGTTTTCCAGTAAAATTTGTCGGATTAAACTCTCATCCATTGGCAATTGTATAGCAGTATGGTACTGCAAGGAGTGAGATCAAATCAATTCTTATATAAAAAAATGACATCAAATCAATGTTAGCCCAGGTTCAATGACTGTCACAGTTTCCAAAATAGTGCCTATAACTCACCTCGCTCATGGAGTAACTATGAATTTGAGGATACAAAATCATGTAGTTGACCAATCTCCAGACAGTAACAAATTAACTATACAAAATTGCCGCTTGCTTGCTTGCTTCGAGGCAAGAAGATTCTAAACAACGACCAAGAATGGTTATAACACTATGTTAATGACTAGACTTCACATCCTTGTCGACTAGATCGGCTCCGCTCACATAACTTGCGAAGAACGATATTAATCTGAAAGGAGCACCAATTAGTGGGGCATCCGAGAGTGGTACTGCATCCCTTTCTTCGCTCTCAACAGTTTGCGACTCCAGATCCTGGACTTCATTATCATCAAGAGGAATCTGGACAATTTCTCCAGAATCTACGGGCTTCGCAGAGCTAGATATTAGAAGACCGTGCTCACCGTTTATTTTATCCTCACTGTTTGTGTCATCGTGCATCTGAATATCTTTTGAAGACTCTGGTCTCCCATCTAATACAAGCATATTCGTATTTGATGCGGAGTTGTGATCCACGATGCCGGCGCTTTCAGCAATTTCTACAGTAGAACCACTCTGAAAGGGTGACGAAAGCCCAGGTGCTGCCTTTTGTTGATCGAGTTGAAGACACAACTCATTCACCTGATTAAAACATGTGATTGACAGACCAATCCTAATCAAAAGTTGATGATGAAGGAAATTACGAAAGTCTCTTTTAATTACACTTCCTATTTAATTGGCCCAATGGAGTGTAGGGCTAACGGCTCTTACGACAACCTTCCTTCTAGAGGTCAATTGTTCTTTGGGGTGGAAAGAGAATACAGAGAGAGGCTTCTCCTTAGAACCCAGGCAACTCACACTTTCAAATATGAGTGTTGCCTTCGGCCTTCTGGAGCAAGCCTTACCGATTTATAAGAGCATAAACAATAGCTTAAAGGAAAGGAGCTAGCTTACCTTCTCAACAAGGTCTGCATTCTCTGTAATCAATTTCTCCACAAGAGCACATGCTGCTTCCATCTGGGAGTTCAGCTCCTCGTATTCTGAAGACCGCTACAACATAGAAAAAAGTAGTAAGGATTCTGTAATGCGTTCCTTAGAGGTACAATCTGGCAGAAAAGTTCTTTGTCAGTTTAGCATAGCCAAAGAAAAAGCCTGGCTGATCCTTAAAAAACAAATCCAAGCACAAACCGAGTAACTTCTCATCCAACATGACAATGCTTTACACAATCAAAACTGCACAATCAAATTGCAACTATTTGGGGCACGTCAATTGGACAAGCAAAAGGCATGATAACTCCAGGAGCAACTGTTCAAGGTCATTATGGAGAAATCCTTCATGAAGAAGATACATAAGTTACATTTATATATGAAAAATCGACATCCGGTGATATAACGCCGGGTCTTCAAAAAGTGGAACAAACGTTAGAAGTGCATTCAATTGATTCAATGCAGAGGAAACAAACCTTTCTTTGCTCATCTGAGTGATCAACTGAGGAAGCATTCTCCAGGAGATGAATCTGACCTTGCAACTCCAAAATATTATCTTTTAGTCTTTGGTTTTCTAGCAAGTAACTGTTCTTGGATTCTTCCAATTTTGACACCTGCCAGACTTTGTTTTTACTTTCCATATCAGGAGAAATACAGAGTTTGCAACTCAATGGTGAAGCCCAGATTTCATAATAGTGTGGTGGTGAATTGACTCCTCTAGCTAGGAAGACTGAAACTCATGAACAGAAATAAGACAGAGATGCCAAGCTACAAGATACATGAGTGACAGGCATCTTACAGAGGAACTCAGTTTAGTCACGGATATGGACTAGTAAAAAAGGGGAAGGTTTCCCCTTTTGGATCCTAACTATGCTTCCAAGCAATCAATCAATCAAATCATTTATAAAACCAACAGAATGAAAACAGTTGCTTAAATTTAACCATTTGAAGGGCAAATTGTTTCCTATGTAGCTGCTCCTGAGTGCATCCCTCACTGCATTACTTAGAAGTTATAGGCTTTAGAAATCAGGTATGGTCCAGTAGCCACCCCTTTTACCAAGAGACTAACGATAGAAACCTGTTGATCGATTCCTCAAATGCAGTCCACTCTCCCTTTCATTTTCTTCCTCCATCCCTTTTCTTTCTCTTTCCTTTTAGTCTACCATCTCTAAAAACTTTTGCAGTCCATCCAAAATAATATTCATCATGAGATATAATTTTTCAATATACATTGTTTATTTCCTTCATTTCGTTCTTATAGTATTTTCTTTTCGCTGTTGGTCCATGTTTTTCTTCTCCCCATCCTACACCTTTGTTGACAACCCTTTTCAAATATTTTCAATCTGGACAATGCCAACGTTTAAGACATGCATAATCCTTGTTTAGATATAGGTTTAAAATCGAGTGAATACATATTCCACTTTATCCTAGAGTAGTTGCATCCCCAAAATCACAAGGCACAAGTCTAAGTCAGATGCACTTAGTTTCAGGATTCCAGTATCTGAACTCACATATTCTAGGTGAAGAAACTTCCCTTACCTTTAGACAAAGACAAACATGCTTAGACTAAGACAAAAAAAGACACTCCACAAGAAAAAAGTACAAAATGGCAACGTCGTGGTTGTTCATAAGCAGCAATCACGCAGAAGCCATTAAATATTTTTCTCTGGTTAAACTCATCACTATAGTTGGATATTTGGGCCAAAAACATGATGGATGAAGTACGGCATTCAACATTAGTTTCCTCTCTCCAAATAATTAGTGCAGGACCTTATTTAGTCTACGGCTTCGCATGCAAAGATGCAAGTTGAACTTGTCCCTTTATTGTGTTCTTCATTAATGCCACCAAGTAATGGCCAATGTTTATGACATTAAAAAAATGACGAGGAGACATTCAAACCTTAACGTATTGAAAGGTCTATAAAATGAGCTTTTCATCTGGTCACAATACACAAGGTTGCATGATAACATGACGCAAATGTAGCATAATTTTTATACACATCTCTTCTCCTTAGAACTTCAAGAATTCAGATTTCTTTTCAGATTGTATTATTTTCAATTCTACATAAGTCTAGATTTATGTTTGTTCTGTCTGTCATGGATCTTTTCCCCTGACAGTTTTTTGTACAACTTGGAAAAAATAGTACCAAGGAGGTGAAAAACTATGGCAATTCACTTAGTAAAATTAGATATCATTGAGAAGAAAATAGAATTACTTTGCTTAACAGCCACCCTAGATAGGAGAAGCTGCAGCTATGATCACAACTGCAGTTCTACGATAATCGTGTCCCAGATAAAGGGATGCTACAACAACCATTGCAACTGTAATTTTATTAAAATCATGTTGAAAAAATTTTCCAGGTTCTGTATGGCCAGCACAAACTTGAAATCTAAATTTAGTCCCAAAAGACAACGGTTGATGTCCACCATTTCGACTGAAAAAGTCTTCAGCAGTATATACCTGTAACTGTAGTCCTATAATGTCAGTCTCCATTTTGGCAATGATTTCCCTACTTGAGTTCTGTGAATTAGAAGTATTCATCAGAAGTGAAATTTCCAACTTGACTTGAAATACTGTAAAAATAAAAAATACAGAACGACTCATGAAAATCAAAGATGCTACTGGAGAAAACCCTCCAGCGAGTCAGACGCAGCAGAAAATTCCCTCATACACAATTAAAAAAAAAAAACACAAATCACATCATATATCTCATATCTAATATTAAGAGCCAACCATGAACTTCAAACTTTTCGTGGAGAACCAAAAGGCAAAAGGTTTTAATCATTCAAAATTTCAGACTTCCTTTTGTGATGGGCATATGAAGTAGCAGTATCATCAAATGATAGAATTTTTTCTCATTAAAATTTGACTAACAAGAACAAGGATATTACAGAAAGTATCTCACCTCCTTTAAAAGCCAGGACTCATGATCTTTTCCTAGTTGTCTTATTTTTTCCTCCAAACTTTCCTGTGAATCATTTTCAAAGTCTGTCATCCCCATATGTCATAGGTTAAAAATGCTTCTGACCATATGAAAGAACTTTTTCTCAATGAAATTTAAACAAGAACAAGCTATCAAGCATAGTACATAAAGTACCTCCTTTAAAACCCAGGAATCATGATCCCTTTCTAGTTCTCGTATTTTTTCCACTAATCGTTCCTGTCATTCACTTCCAAAGTATGTCAGCTCCACCAGTCATGGCTTAAAAAAGCTTGCTTGAAAGAATTAACCAAAATGATAGAACTTTTCCCAGTGAAATTTGACTAACAAGAACAAGCATGGCACAGAAAGTTGCTTACCTCCTTTGAGATCCACGAATCATGATCTCCCTCTAGTTGTCCTATTTTTTCCTCCAAACTTTCCTGTGAATCACTTTCAGAGTTAGTCACTTTCATCTCCATAAATAAAGGGTTATATAACTTAAGAAGACTTCTAACAAAAATGGATTATGCAGAAAGAACAGTCAAACGTTAACACCAACAAACAAAATATTTGACTTTTGATAATGTGATTGCGAATAAGGAACTTGAAAGATACCTGTTTCAATTCCAGATTGGCTTTCTCGTCTAAGATCTGGCTAATCTTCTCCTTAAAGCTAGCCTACATGTAGGATGGGATTTAATCAACAAAACATGAAGCAAAACTCACAATGGACTAAAGATAAAAAGATATATACCTGCTTCAGTTCCAAAATAGCTTTCTCATCTTTTAACTTAGCTTTCTCATCTGATAACTGGCTAATCTTCTCCTTAAAGCTAACCTAAATGCACAGTGGTAAATCAACAACAGATGGCATAAGTTTCATATGGAGAAAATTTATAACAGCAGCACGTCGTTATTCATTCTTATAGGGAGGAGAAGATCCACAGCCCTCAAATAAGCGTCAAACAAAAGACTGAACTGGATGTTGCAAGACAACTTAAAACCTCATAAAAGCATCCTCAATAACAAATTACCTCTTTCTCAAGCCAGCTTTCCTTCTCACACTCCAACTGTGCAAGGTTTGTGGCTAAACCAGCCTGTAACAAATTCAATGCATTATGTCCGCCAATAAAAGAGAACGGAATAACTCTCTGGAGACTGCCAAGCACATACCAAAGTGAAATAATCTGACAAACTAATCTCTATACTCATTTATCATGTTGTATTACCTCTTTGTCCTTGTGTAAGTCATTCTCATTCCGCAAGTGCTTAATGTTTTCTTCCAAACTGGCCTGCAAAATCGCATTCTGTGCTCATGACCATAGACCAGAAATAGCTGCAACTAATCAAGATGAAGCAACAAATTAATTGGCAGAAGCTTGGTACAAGCTTCTAAGGCCATTATCCACACCTTGATTTCCAACCAGTTCTGTTCCACAACTCCGGCTAAACTGGACTGTGTGTCAACATGCTGTACAGTATATTAGTAAAGAAAGAAGATATTAGCCTCATTTCTACACGTCGGTTCATAGTTGTGTCTCAAAACGTCAACAAAACCAATGAAAGTGGCAACAGTGACGGGTGTGGGCAACAGGGGAAAAAATCATAGCAGCAGAGCTGCCACAAATAAAGCAACTGAGATTATCAGATACAGAGTTTGATTTAAGGTGTATAATGAAGCACATTCACAAATGTTTTCCAACAGGGTCGAGGAAACAGAAATGAACATATATTCTAGTTTCTTCACTTAAAGTTAAATTATAAACCAAATAGATAGTAAAAAGAGGATAGAGAGTCCATTGATAGGTCTACTCGTCTTAAGATATCGATGTTTCATTTACTGCATATTTCACTTTGGCATAAAATTATCATTAAAAAGTTAAGGTAATCGAGTACATTGCATGTATAGAACTTCGAAACAAATTCTTCCCGGTAAAACATGATGCTCTCTTCATAAAATTGCAGTATTTTCCAAAACTCTGTCTAAAATTTCCAAATCCAAACCCAAACTACTTTTCTGACATGCCGCAGACAATCAGCTAAAACATCGAATGTAATTAAGAGGAAAGAAAGAAAGGAAACATATATTTTCATTCAAGATATCAAGTATTATTTAAATAATTACTCTTCTCAGCATCAGAGAATACAAATTGGATATAAAACATCACCACCATCTGGCATTTCTGGTGCAACATGAAGGAGGAAAAAGTGAAAGGATTTGAGAGATGCATTAGACTGGCAAGTATGTCATTCATTTTTGTGCACCGGATAGCAAAATCACATAATTCTTTCTTATTCAAATTATGTCGCTTTTCCCAAGATTACATGTATTGTGAATCGCTCAGTTATATGGAACAAAGACAGGATCACTAGAGGCCAAGTAGAATGAGGTCCACTTAGGGTAGGCATCCATGAATCTGTAGTTGGAACAAGACTTTCATTTCGGAAAACATACATTGTAGACTGTTTGATCCATAGCAGAAGTGCTCTCGTAGAAACTATTACAATGGATCTTCTTCTAAAGATCTTTTCCAGCAGAGATAACATGTCACACTAACTAGCAACTACATTGATCCTTGCCAAATTGAAACGCTAGGAATGTAATGCTCTGGAATGCAGATGTACCACAACATGTGATCTGAATTGCGGATCGGCTAAATCCTATCGTACTACGACATCCGTTATCCCATCCTGGGACGATTTGTGTCAACCCATCAAGTCAAACAAACATCTCGTAACACCATTCTCCGCATTCGAATTTACAATGAAAATACCCACAGCTTCTGCGCCATTGCAATTCAAAACTAAATACTTACATCTTCGACACCATTAGCCAGAGGTTCGATCCGATCCGCCTCCGCCTCCGCATCCTGGCCGGCATCAGACACTCCATTCCCCGGAGCCCCCCCATTGCTCAAACGACTCCTCTGGTCGACCGGATCAGTTTCCCCATCGCCGGCCGCAGCGACCGCGGCGTCTTCCCCCGCGGCTTTGCCGCTCTGCTTATTCTTCTTCTTCTTGTTCCTCTTCCTTCTCTTCTCCTCATCCATCCCTCCAGCTCAAACGGCGAACCCGGACCGAATCTCACGCGACCCAATCCGCCCCCACGCACCCGCTCCCCAACCCAACCCCCAAAATCAAATCTTGTATCCCAAATCACCGTCCCCGCCACCCAAAACCCACAAAAAAAAAAAGAACACAAGCAGGTCAATCGCAAAACCTCCCAAACGAACAGCCCCAATCCGGCGCACCGCTCGCGCACGACGGAACCCGATCCTTCCGCCTCAGCGAAACCCTAGGCTACGAATCAGATCGGAAATGCCTGAAGGAGAAGAAGCTCGGAAACAAGATGGATCGAAGTCGACGACACGCGTCCGTCGAAGAAAACAGTAACGACGGGGTGGGGGCGGGTGAAGCCCCGCTAACGGCTCTTCATTCGTCGGTTTTCGCAAGGACGTGTCCGAAAAAACATTTTCCTCAGTTTTTTTTCCGTCTTTTATTAACCGTCTTGCTTTGAGAAAAATGAGTTGAAGGCAATAAAAAATTTAACAAAAAAAAAGGGACACGATAAGTTTATTCTTAAGTTGTGTAATCATTTTTGCAATTCGCCTCGAACGCCTCCGATGTCATTAGGCTTGGAATCCCGATGGCTAGATCGGGGCATCGGTGACGGGACACGCGACCCTGGCCACTGTGGCTAGGATCCTAGCCCTTGCCCGCGAGATCCCAGCCCAAGCTTTAAACTAAAGACACGACCACTGCTCAAGTCCTACCGCTCGAACTCGTGAACCCGACAATTGAACTCGTGAAATTGATAGACAGACTTAAAAGATCAGGGTACCTTATTTAACGGTACCACCCTCGACGGGTTGCTCGTAGCTTAAAAACTATGCCAAAGGCGAATGACGTTTGGGTCGGGTCGAGTATGGGCGGCCCGACTTTTCAATCTTCTAAGATCAATGGCTCAAACACACGCCCATTTGTCCTTCGGGCCTTGGCCACTAGTGAAGGAAAACTGAAAGTGTCAATGAGCTTTTCTTTTTTCTTTCTCTCTTCCCCCCCAAGAAGACACGATGACAAGGATTCATCGCCGGCCCCAGGCCCGTTACAAAGCTCAAAGTGCTGATTTTTACGAGCTGGGCTTCTTCTCTTCCATGACAGCGACATGGAAACCTCTTCAATCCTGTTTGACCGATTCTCGAAATCGTTGGTTGGGTGAGGCTCGATGGGTGAGCTTGACGTTCTTGCAATGCAATGCCCATCGTTCTTGGTCGAAGCAATCTGGTCCGTCTTGGGTGTTGATCTTGCATTGCCACCTCGACACCTGGTCCCGCTGGTCGTTTGCGTCGTTTCCACGAGATACCAAATTTGGTAAATCATTTCGCTTGCAAGAATTCAACGCCCGCACACGACACCCACCCAGAAGAGAATAAGGAGAAAAAAGAAAGATATTTCAACTGGGTCCTCTCTCTCTCTCTCTCTCTCTCTCTCCAATCGCCTTGATTTCGGGCCATCTCTTTTTCTTGGTAATTTTGCCTCGCGGAGACGACGACCTCGTCCTCGTACAGAGGGTCAACCGGAATTCGATCGTGGTACGTGCTGCGCTTGCGCTTCGAGTTTTCGTGGTGTTTTGAGTTCCTTTGATTTGACGGTATCGAAGACAAGCGCATTGCGTTTGATATGTGGCCCTTTGGGTTTCCTCTTCTTGTTCTGGATGTTTTTGTTTTCTAATGAGATAATCAAATTAGAAATTGCCATATCTGCGGGCACTCAATTTGGTTGGAGAAATGAGGTTCTGAGTTCTATTATCTTTTCTCGGTTAGATTGATATGTGATATAAATTTGGTTGAGAGCAATGGTGGCAGTTTCTGGTTGTGAGATTCGATTAGAGGTTTATTGTATGGCATGAAATGAGAGCTGGTTCAAGCATGCTATTTTGCAAGCGGAGCTACTCATTCTAAATCCTGGAAAAATCCTTGATGTCGGTTGGATTGTCCTTCCAACGCGACATGGATTGAAAGCTATATGCCGAGAATGTAATTCCTGAATATTTCTCTGGTGATACATATTGCGGCAGGAAGACCCTCCAGAAGTTCTACATGTTAATCGAATGACATTTTGATCTAGTTTACCCGTTGGATCAAGGACTAATTTTTTTTGAAGTGGCACCAATGCGATGCCGACTTATACCAAAATGATTGACAAGATCCGAGCTTGACTATAACTAGCATATCCCGTAATTTTATTTATTGAAAGAGTTAATGGTGTAGAACCAAGAGTCCTGTATATATCAAATTACTCTCTACACACCCTCGGACACTCTTCGTCCCTCCCTCCACACATCATTTTGTCCTCTATGCATTTTATGGTTTGCGCGTCTGATACCACACAAGCCAAAAATCATGTTCAAATTTCCAAAGACCTCATGTTCAGCACCAGCAACAAATCCCTTGCTGTTTTCGCAGCCACCTTATGTAGAGGGCTTCTAATCGCCAAGGTCATTCCCCCTTTGCAAATAGCCTGCTGTTATAACGTTTGGCCAGGATGCCTTCTGCATAAACAAGGAAATCTTGGTAGGAACAGCCGAGTTCTTGTCAATCCTTCAGGGGTTTTAGTTTTCCTTCTCCTTGTTGTCACAGTTAATATTGCTTGGGGTACAATTTGACTTTGAGACATCCATTCTTGTTAATTTGTTATCTTCCTCGTCCCTTTTCAGTTTTGCCTCCTCTAGCACATCATAGAACTTAGCACAATGTTCCAATACCCGATCGTTAAAGCTTCTGACAATATCTGCTGGGGCATGTAAAGCTGAAATGCGAAAGATATTAGCAACACATGCCCTTTAATGCTTAGGAAGTCTGACTAATAGAGCAAATCAGGCTTTTTTTATGAAATCGAGCTTTAGGCGGTGTTGAACCACACTTTATCCTGCCAGAAGAAAACAAAATCTCCTCTGCCAACAACGCGATCTATGTTAGACTAGGAAGATTGACCTAATGTTTGTTAATCCATCTCCAAGGGATCACCCTGAAATTGTACCGACATTGTTAACCTGGCCAACAAGGTTTCATTTTTATTATTGATGAACTCTCTAGAGAAAATTCTTTTGGTCATAATTTTCAAAGCCACTTGGCACACAGAGCTTTGTGGAAATGTAATAAAGATTTCATACCCAAAGGCAAAGCCACTTTCATATGGGAAGGTTAATGATGCCCCACCTACCAAGGCTGAAACTATAAGCCTTTCCCTTACCTCCTATTGGAACCTTCTCTTAATGCTATCGAGTATCCTAGCTGCCACACTTGAATAGGGAAAAGCAGGAAAAGAAAAACTCGCAGAGTTGTATGAGTCTCTTTACTGAAGTTAATCTGCCGCCATTGGAAAGATAACCTCTTTGAACTAACCAATCTTCTCTGTGTCTTGGAAAAAACCAGGTCCCGAATACCGTGATCTTTCAGTTTAATTCCTTGAGGTGGGCCGAAATAAGTGATAGAGGGACTACCTTGCTTGCAGCCTATTACTCAACTAAGATGTCCCAGAGTTATCTTCAAACAATAGAACAAAATGCTGTCATCAGCAAATAATAGATTGGAAAGTTTTAGGTTAGAATACTTCTAGATACACTAAAGGATTATAGCAAGTGTTTCGTATTGCTGCTCTTCCAATGGATTTCCTTGTGCTTTCATGGGCTCCACTTGTTAATGTGAACTGTGTGCCTATTTAGAAAACCCTTTTTTCTATACTTCGATATAATGCAGTGATCCTTGTATATTTTAACTTTCAGGTGCTTTGCGCTTTCTTCTGCTGAATCTTGGAATTCACATTCCAACCATCAGTATGGGGCAATGCGTAGCCAAGGTAATACCTCTGGGCCATTTTTTGCTGTCCTTCTCAAATCTTTTACTTACTATTGCGAAGATGTACACATTTTTGTAGTTAATATCATACAATGACTTCTTGACCACTTCTTCTCCCATGATATTTTGCTCTGTTGTTTGGATAAGATTTCTGTCGTTGATAAAGTATATCTATTAATCTCAACATATGGTGACTCTATTAAATATCCTCCTTTTAACCATGCTATGCTTGTCCTACAACAGCTGTTCTATGACATTTAATGGCTGCCTCCATATATTTGCTGTTGCATCTCTTCTGGGTTTTGGCTTGAAATATTTCAATGAAACACTGTCAGTTCTTTTTGTCAAAAAGATTCTATGTTGTTCATGGTGCTTCCAGCAAGAAACAAAAGACGATGACTCCGACCACCAACACATTGATTTTGCTAGCGGCAATGTGCATCTCATCACTACAAAAGAGAGCTGGGATGGAAAGTTATCAGAAGCTATTAAGGACGGAAAGATTGTAAGTTTTCAAAATTAGTAATTTGCAGTTTAGATAAATGATGTCTCGCTCTTGCTATGATCTGTAACAAGATAGCCTTTTTCTTCCCTCGGTAATTTTGCACCCACAGACCGGGTGCTTCTCTCTGTAATCGAACCCTGGACTTCCCATTAACCCCGCCCCTCTGTTGCCACCAGGTCATTTGCCTGGTGTTCTCATACTACTTGTTATAAGATCTTGGTGTAAATCCCGGGTTACACGAGATAGTGAGGTTGATCCCTGTTGAGAAATGTAAATTTGGAAATGAGACTGAGTTTGTGGTTTATGCTCTAAGTCTTTGCCTTGATATTTGACAATTGCATCTCCATCTGTTTTCTCTTTTTGTGTATATATTTTCAGCATAGGGATGATTCTTAGAGTTCATTTCAATTTTTGAGAATCCAGAGTAGACAGTGGCATGCGCTGTGTGTTGTGTCAGGTTATAGCAAACTGTAATAATTCCAAGGTGTTTATGTGGGAAAGGTGGCTGAGAAAATTCTGTCATGTCAACTCTTACTTTATGTCAATTATAACCTTTTCTTTAACACGAAAATTTGGCTGTCCACCGTGACTTGTGAATGCTTAACAGGTTATAGCAAACTTTAGCGCGACCTGGTGTGGTCCTTGTAGAGTGATTGCACCTTTCTACTCCGAGTTATCCGAGAAGCACCCTTCTCTCATGTTTCTTCTTGTCGATGTGGATGAACTAACGGTAAGTATGATTTTTATCTCTCGGACCTTGCAACTTGCGAATCGGATGAGAAATTTGCTTAGTTATTTGCCAAAAGTACTGACTGTAGCTCTTGTGCCGTTTCATTTATTTCACAGGAGTTCAGCACATCGTGGGACATTAAAGCGACCCCTACTTTCTTCTTTCTTAAAGACGGGAAACAAGTCGACAAGCTCGTGGGCGCCAACAAGCCAGAGCTTCAGAAGAAGATAACTGCGATTTTAGACTCGATCGGTCAAAGTCAGAAATGAATGGTTGACTGCTAGAGGTGGGGAAAACAAAGCTAAGCCTCTTTGGAATTTTGTGAAGCCATGTATATGCAGGTTTCCAAGTTGTAAAAAGCTTTTCCGCGGCACTTGTTCTTGAATGTAAATAGAGATGCTTGAGGATGTCGAACGGTGAAAATATCGGATTGGTAATCTCCGTTCTCTTTATCATGTCCTCGATGTCCATTGTCTCAATCGGTTTTTGATCTGATTTCGAAAAGTCTTTCTCACTGTTCAGAGCAGTAAAGCTTAGTTTGTTGCAGACCTTGTTAAGCTTGGTGTTTTTAAACCAATTTGACTACTGTTTAGCTCTTTGTGGTCATGCCTCTGGTGACCCGCGTTGAGATATTTGAAGTGTGAAGGAAAATGTCATCTAGACAACAGGACGGCTGAGAATGATTAGCGGATATTAGAAGGTCATCTGAAACATTCATATGTTGTCAAAGGTGACTGAGAAATAGAGAACAAAACTGTTGTCATTCGATTTCTCTTGCTTCGCGAAAAATGAATAATCTGAAAAATACTTATCTACAATTTATGTGTAAATATTTTCGCGAACGATGAAAATATTTTTCGTTCATTCATTCATCTTTACGAGCGATTATTTTTAAGAAAGTGCTTTATGAATCATTTATTTTTCCGGGTATTTGCCGTTATTCAGATTATATATCTTGATTGTGTTGCATGTGGGGCTTGTCGAGGTGCAATTGAGATTGAGAAACGTTTGAGCAAGTGCGCGGAATTTGAGCGACGGTACGATCTTTCGCTTTAATTGTAGCGGACATCTCGTCGATCTCTCCTCATGCAGCGAGCATGCCCGACCGAAGCACGTAAATTCTCCGCGACGCATGGAGTTCCCGCATTTATATTTCGAGGACGTTTTCCATTGCTCAGTCATCAAGGTACGAGTGAGTGGGACAGAACTTTCGTCTTAAAAAACTAAGAAAAACTTTTAAGACAGCGAGACGCGACAGACCACGTCGGTGTCGTCGGTAGTTGTTTTCGTGGGCGAGATAAGCAGCGGGAATCAAAAGAGAGACCCGAGCCTTTGCCCTTCGCTGTTAAAGAGGGTCTCTCCCACGTTTCGTCGAATCTGACGGTGCATTTCCATTTCTTGAAAGCTGCTTTTCAACCCACCATCAACCTAACTCGTGTAGAATACACTCGCTTGCCGTGTTTATCGGATCTAAATTCATTGACCCAATGCGAACGCAGACACAGACAGCCCCATTCACGGTGTGTAATTTACACGTCGGTTTCGCATGATCAACGGCTAGGATGGGACCTGTACAGATATCTCTGGATGTGAGCAATAATTCGCGACCCGAATTGGAGATCCGGACAAACGTCACCAGCAGATTCGTCAAACGACTGGGTCGGGTCGGATTTGGATCGGGTCGAAAATGATCTGACCCAAATAGATTTATTTAACCCGTTTTGACCTATTTCCATTCAATGCAAATTTAGTGACTCATACCCCCAACCCGTACACAACACATACTCAACCCATATTGCTAAAAACACTTCCGTATTTAATCCAATATAAGAAAACTCATATCCAAACTGAGGTGAAAATACGAAATGAGCGAAGATCGATGGAAGACGAGAGAGAATTGAGTCTAAATAAGTTATAAATTCTAACTCATTTAACGCTCATATTATGTGTCACTGAATATAATTAGTTTATAATAACAACTCAGCCATGAGTTTGACACGTCTAGTCATTACACAGCCGCAAATATATCAAAGTTTAAAAATTAATTTTGTTATTATCCATTGAATTTAGATTGGGAATTGGAGATCGGACATACGCCACCAGAGGACAGCTGCAAAATGCGCTGCTCCGTGATGTGCCAGCTGGTCCATCCCCCGTATCTTTTGCTAAATTGAAAAGAAGGAAACGTCAAAGTCAGCTGTCCTGCACCCGGAAAAAGAGAAACGAAGCGTATAATCGGATTGTATGATGCGCGAACGTTGTTCGGGACCCGCCCATGTGTGTCGGGAGGGGCCAAAATCAATGGATTCACGAACGCCATCCCAACCACAAAGTCAACGGAACAGAAACTCAAGAAAGATGACCGAGGAACATGGATGTTTTAAGAGAACAATACAGACGTCTTGGACTAAGGATATAGAACTCAAAAGGAGATAATTTAGCAAACGTACATATATTATTATACACTCCTCATACGATATATATATATAGAATTTAACAAACAAATTACAACTGCCTTGGAGAGAATTGATATCAGAAGCCGGAAAAGAGATTGAAATTTTGACAAGCAAGTTAAATGAAGAAGGAGATGATCAAGAAAAACCCAAATGGTGCCCCGAGTGTTTCGACATTTTCGCAGTGGAAGTGTCTCCGTGGGAACGTGGGTCCGGGTTCACCGCCCTTTAGGGTTCATGATTTGAGAGAACACGGCGCTCGGAGTCAGCCCGTCCGAGTCTTCGCTGGCGAGGCTCCGACCGCCGATGCTCATGCTCATCCCGCTGCTTCTTGAATCGGTCACGTTGCTGTCGAAGCCAGGGGAAGCGTCGGGATCCTTCTTCCCTTTGCAGGCCGCGGCGTCGAAAGCTCCGTCGTCCATGCCAATTCCCCCGAAGCCCTTGCCGCTCTCCTCCGCGCTCTCTTGCAGCTGGAGGGCGAACTCGAGGTTCCACAGGACGTCGCCCATTGATGGCCTCTCGATGCCCTGGTCGGAAACGCACTTCATTGCGGTCTCGGCAAACTTTTTGAAGCACTCCGGCGCGATTCTCCCCTTCAAATGAGGATCCATAATGTGTTCGAGAATGCCTTTCTTGTGGCAATGAGCAGCCCATTCCGCCAGACTGACTTGCTCTTTCGGCAGCGTGGGGTTCAATGCAGGGCGCGCACAGAGGATCTCGAACAGCACGACACCGAAGGAGTACACATCGGATTTGTCAGTCAACTGCTGACGCCTGAAATATTCAGGATCCAGATATCCAAAGCTACCCTTCACAACAGTACTGACATGCGTGTGATCCAGCGTAGGACCAGTCTTTGACAGACCAAAATCGGAGACCTTCGCCACCCACTTCTCGTCCAAAAGAATGTTGGTAGTTTTCACATCGCGGTGAATGATCGTGTGCTTGGCCCCAGTGTGGAGATAGTGCAGCCCACGAGCAGCTCCAATGCAAATCTCAAGTCTCTGCTTCCATGGGAGAGGGGGTCTCTGGGTCTTGTACAGGTGCTCCCGGAGTGTTCCGTAAGCCATGTAATCATAGACAAGGATCATCTCACAGTTTTCTTCGCAATACCCGATCAACGAAACGAGATGGCGATGGCGTAGCTTGGAAAGCATTTCAATCTCAGTTTGGAATTCATGCACACCTTGCTCAGAGAGGGGGTTCCCACGCTTGATCGCCACTTTCGTCGTCCCGCCGTCGATTTCTCCTTTGTACACTTTGCCAAAGCCTCCCACTCCAAGGAGGAGAGCCTCATCGAAGTTCTTGGTGGCAGCTTTAATCTCAGCAAAAGAGAAATGGCGGCAAAGGTTCGACGGCAGGGACGATGCATAACTACCAGTAGTGTTCGTCTTTGCGGAACCCGCAGAGTGCGAGTTTCCATAAAGAGAGAGAGGAAGCCAGCCGGATGGTCCATCGCTTGCGCTTGACTCCTTCCCATGCCTTCGGCGACGCGAAGCGCAAACAGCTAAGAGACCGATGACTATGGCTAACACAACTCCCCCGCCAACCCCTCCTGCAATAATTGCTGTTTGATTAGTTGATTTACCAGGCCCTGTTCTAGCTCGTGAGGGATCGATTACATCCTGCTTCGGTGCAGGAATAGGGTTAGGCCCCGCAAGATTGCCAGACGCATCACTAATTTTGAACATCTCCACTCCATTCAAAATTGCGTCGTAATACTGAGGCTTCATAGCCGTATTCGGATGAAGGGCAAGCCACAAATCCTGCCGCCCAGCTCCATCTGGTACAAGTACCACATAATCCTGATAAATAGGGATTCCATTGCCGTGTGTCCATCCAGCCACATCAGCCTGATCATCAGCAGTTTGATTGGCGATGAAGATCTCAAACATTCTCTGGTTTATTTTCGTTATGAGATCAGATAACTCACAGAAATGCAGCCTCACCAGGTAATTGAACCCAGAGTCAACAGCGAAAATCCAAGTGAGGTTGTAGTTCACATTGACACTTGCATTGGGTCCCATCGTTCTTGCGGTGGAGTATACATTGACAGGAGCGACATAAGTAGGCATGGATGAGGGATAACGAATCGTCACATTCGTATCATTAGTGGCTGTGACCCCAACGGCAGCACCATATATGTAAGGACTATCATCATACCAGGACCTGAACAGTCCCGTGTCGCTAGACGGCGAGATGTCCTGACCTCCCGCATTTAATCGATAAGCAGTCTCGAGAGCAGTGGTATTATCGATGGTGAAGAAAGCACCACCCTGACCGACGATCAAGGCGGTTCCAGTCGAACTATAAATGTCAGGCATCGACACGATCTCAATCCCATTAACAAAAGCAAATGCACCCTGATAGGTCTTAGAGGGACTGAAAGTTATATCCAGCGTCTGCCCCTCAACATTGACCGAGTACTCCTTCAAAACATATGCAAAGTTCAAAGCCTCCGTCGTTTGGGCCACACTGAAGTTCTTCAGAAGAGTATAATCCCCAGTAGAAACAGAGAATATGGCATTGGACGCGTTATACGAATTGTACGAAGAGGGATAAAAGTACAACCGGACGAACTTCCGACCGGATGCCACGGGAAAACTGTAAGTAAAATTAGACGGGAAGATCCTCGCGGTCATGTACGGGACCTGTGGCACCGAAGGGTCCTGCGTGGCGGCCGTGGCCGTGATCGAGTTCACGGTGGAAGACGGGAACTTGGAACCGATGTCCGAGGTCCACACCCGGCCATCGGTATCGGTGGTCTGCGGATCCGCCCCGCAATTCAGCAGGATCTTATCGGTGGGCACATAGTTAGCCCCCAAAACGGCCACCGCCGCCAACGACGCGGACAAGCACAGAAACACCAGGGCCGCCCCGGCGCCGGTCGCCGCGGTATTCCTCATCGACCCCCCCAAAAAAGGCACGAGATTCTGCTTAAAATCCGGAACAACCTTACTTCACTCCGCTTCGAGATCCCGCAAAAATCCCACCGCCCGGAAGAACGACCCGACAGCGAGACGCGATCAGCTCATGACAGGACCTGAACGAGACAGTCGATGGAGGGAGGGGAGAAAAAAACACAACAAACAGCACACCCATCAGCTCGAACCTCCCCAAGTTCCGAAATTTCACAACAACAAGAAGCAAACGAACAGACCCAGAACTCAAAAAGCACGCGGGACATCGAAACCAGCAGAAAAGTCAAAATGCAACCTCCGGAAGCCCAAAAACAAGGAACAGCTAAAAGAAACGAAGGGAGACATGGGGAGCTGAACCTTGATGGCCGATGGTGGAGCGAAGAGGGGGGGGAATGCGAGGATCTTACCTGAGCTGGAGCAGCGGAGAGGGGGACAGATCGCGGCGATTCCTCGTAGGGTCTGAGGAGAGATCGCCAAAGCTGCAGAGATCAAGAAAGAGAGGGAAGAAGGAGAGGAAGAGGAAGAAGAGGGAGAAGAAGGAGCTGAGAAGATCGGGCGAGTAAAATGCTGCTCTGCTCGCTTTGCTTGGACTAATTTTGCTCGTCTGCCTTCGATGGTGGATTAGTCAAAAGCTGTTTCTTTTTATTAAGTATTATTATTATTTTATTAATATGGGTTTTAATTTAATCAGGAGCGATTTGCCGTCTCTTTAAGTTAGTGGGGGAGCAGTTCGGGGGGACTCTGAAATGACGAGGGTGCCCTCCGGAGAGCGACGTTTTCTCGCGGATCCCTTCCCTGCCACTCCCCCCCTGTCGATTGAATGATTGAAGTCGAACGCGTTTTGATGCGTGCCATTTGGTGGTGGCGGCTTTCACGCGTGCGTCCGTGCGTCCGCGTCGAAGCTGGCAATGCACGCTGAAACGGCGCCCTTGTTTTATCGTCGTTTTGGGGTCCAGGTGGCCCAGTTGGCCAGTTGGCGTCGCTGAGGATCGCCAACCGTCACCGACTCCCGCTCTCCCCCCTTTTCCTTAAATTTCCCCCTCGCCAAACTTCCTGAGGTGTTTCTTTTCGGGGGGAAAATGACACAAACAGTCCCTGAATTTTGGCTCAATGTGCAATTTGATCCATGAACTTTTAATTTGTTCAATGTAGTCCCTAAACTTTAATCTGATGTGCAATGTGGTCCCTGAGCTTTTAATTTGTTCGATGTCATCCCTGAACTTTTGGTACATGTTCAATTCAGTCCCTGAACTATATGAAAATATTTAATGTAGTCCTTTCCATTAATTCAAGTTCAGGGACTACATCGAACATTTTCACATAGTCCAGGGACTGAATTGAACATGTACCAAAAGTTCAGGGATGACATTGAACAAATTAAAAGTTCAGGGACCATATTGAACATTAGCTTAAAGTTCAGGGACTACATTGAACAAATTAAAAGTTCAGGGATCAAATTGCACATTGGGTCAAAGTTCAGGGACTGTTTGTATCATTATCCCTTTCATTTTTGGCAGTTCCGCAAGGATTGATTGATGGCGGTTAGTGGGATCTTCTGGGGGTGATGCTGTCTGCTGAACAAATGAATTTTCCCGTGTTGAATTTGATGAGGAGGGGCGTGCGTGTCGCCACGACGGGGACCCGAGCCGGCTGGGTGCCCGTCGCGAGCTTGGCACGGGCCGGTCGAGAGCCGTGCATGCGCGCGAGTCGGACGTGCTGTGCGGGCGGGACATGCCACGTGTGGACGAGCGCGGTGCGCGGGGGGGCCAGGTGTGAATGGACAACGAGCGAGGAAAGTCCCAAGTACATTTCTCTCGAAGTTTGTGATTGGTTCATGTGGTGCAATTACCGGGAAATTTTCCCGACCGGTCTCAGTCTTATTCGATGGATGTCGATTCAAAACTGAACTTTTTCAATTTTTGTCGATTTAGCCATAAACCTTTGTGCGAAATTCCAACGTGGTCCTTCCAATCGGTTTTCATCGAAAATTGCTGACACGGCAGCTCGGTCATCGCTGGCTATCTTACGTGGCACATCACCATGTCAGCTATTTCCATTGAAAATAGGTCAGAAAGACTATATTGGCAAATTTAAGACTGAATTGGCGTTTGTATAATAGGTTTATGACTAATCGAACCAATATGTATTAAGGGAGGGGATGGACCTTAATAAATGTAATACTTTGTATTGAGAAGCATATGGAGGGTGAGTATCTAATTCCAAACATTCGAGTATTTGGAGTAGAATTGACACTATAAATTGGCGAAGTTAGAGTCATTTGTAATCGTCCTTCGAATCTTTCTTTTTTTTTTATATGTGTGGTATTCCTTTATCCCAAACTTAGCGTGCAAGAGTGATCTCGAAAGAGGGTGCGCGACACGACCGGAAAGCATAACCACGTGAAAGATTTCATCCTTGAACAAACCCGAAGGTTGTGTTCGTGACAAGTGATATCAGAGCGTGTTGTTTGCCCACAAAAAAAAAAAGGGCATAAATGTCGAGAGAGGATGCCGATCCAAGAGACGAGGCCGAACAATCGGCGCCCAATGGATTAGGTCTTCTTTTTCACGCGGTGCGCGTTTTAAACCTTGAGTTAGACTTAGCGGATGTCGAAATGAAGTTGGAACGCCTAGCGCCGGACTTGCGTGAGGTGATCGGGGGCGATCAGAGGGCTCCGACACCAATTTTCTAGCTCGTCACCGCAATCTCGCCAAGGTGCAATCAGGCGAACGGCGGGTTTCGTGGATGGACACCAACACATTATCAATGAATCGAGAAGAGGCCAAGCCAGGAGCCGAATCGGCTTAATCATCATTAAACCTGTATTAATAAGAAAAAGTAGACCTCATCTCAGTAAATCTATATTTTCCAAAAATTGAGTTCATTCAACGGTAAACGAGTCTATTTTTGTGGTTGAGAGCTTGATTTGGATCCCGCAGACTCTGAATTCAAATCTTAATGTCTTTCAGCATGCAGGCGAAGTCTTATTCAATGCACGTGAAGAGAGCGGTTTGCGTGTATTATGGAGATTAGGTCGAGCCGCAATATTCAAACATCCCTTGCTATGCAATTCGACTTTGGCCATCTCCTCTGTGACACGCACAACTCGAAAATTACTTTCCCACAGGCCAAATAAATTGATTGATCCACCGCCCCCTTCGGCCAGGCAAGCAACGAACCAAGTCAAACAGCTCGACGGCTCGATCGAATCATTGGAGTCATCCGCCAACCGATCGGGTGGGTCGGGACTGGCCCGATCGTGCCTCGGTCGTGCCCCGATTGGGCCTCGATCTCGGCTCGATCCCGCCTCAATCATGGCTTCCCCTCAATTAAGGCCTTGCTCCATCCTCTACAGAGATGCCCTTGTAGAGAGATATTCACGGGCCGGTCCAGATCATTTTGGGCTTGAGCTTCTCGAACCCGAGGAAGGACTTGGGCCGGCCCAAATCAAGAATAAAAATGGGCTTGATGGCCCGGCCCGGATCTATCAATGCCCGGAAAAAAAAAAAAGAAAAGTAATTCCAAGCTATAGGCGGGCCGGGTCGGGTTTTGAGCTAGTTGGGTCCACGTGTCTAAACTCTCTAATCTCTCTAATACGTTATTCCATATAAGTAACTTTTGCACATTGGACGCATTAGATTTTTAGGGGTAATAATAGCCTAGGAGATCACTTAACTTTGTTGATTCAGTGCAATATGGTCTCTAAATTTTTATTTTATGTGCACAATTTGGGCAATAGTAGTCATTCCATTAGATACTTGGGTAAATTCAGATTTTGGAAAATATGACATTGGAGATGTTTCGTAAGTATTAGGGGTGAGCATGTTTTCAGGGTGGAATTTGAAACCTAAGAACTTGATGGATGGGAATCTATAGATTTTAGGTTCCAATGTATACAGGGTAAATTCCAAATTCAAAAATTTGGGGAACTTGTTTCGATAGGTAGGTTCCAAGTTCTAGGCCTTGAAACTGGAACCTGGAACCTTAAATAAGTTTTTTGTATTTTTTCTTGGTCTAAGTCTTCACGTGATCTTGTGGTGTGCCATGGCATTTGATGATGAATGTATAATTTGGAACCACTAGTTTAAACTTTTATTTCATGACTTGTTAATGTTTTATATTTTTCATGTTTCTAAAATAAGCTATGGTTAGTGGATCACAGCAGCAAGTAATTGTCATTAAAGATCATAATTCGCTGCAATTATTCAATTAATAATATATTGTGGAGCATGGGTAAACCCTGGAACCAACCTCGAAATCTGTGAAAAGGTAAATTCCAGGTTTCAAGATATGTATAATGGGTTTCAGATTTTAAAATATGAGGAACCTATTCCCATGAGTAAATTCCAAAATTTAGGTGGAACCTGTACAGAACCTGGAATTATTCATCCCTAATAAATATCGAGTGATTTTATATTTATAAGACAAATGAAACCTATCATACCATAACCGTTATAATTCTGAAAATCGTTATTTCCATATGAGTTTTTCTTTTTTTTGGTCATACTATTTCCATACGAGTTGGATGTGCAATGGTACACACACGCAAGTTTAATAAGCGCAAATTTTCAAAAATAATTATTTATAAATAAATATATTGGTCAAGAAGCTAAAAGTATATGATCAAATTTGCCAATAAAGAAAGGAAAAAAATAAGTCAAAGTACAAGATCAAAAATAAAATAAAAAAACAAAAAAAAAACAAAAAGAAGAAAAAGCACATAAATGCATCCGTTTTTGCAAGCCCAAGCCCAAGCCCAAGCCCACTTTTACTACTTCAAAACCCTAATAACCTCCGTCTTCCCTTGACCTTCCGACTCTTTACAGCCTCCCTCCCTCCTCCGCGCGACGATCCGCAGCCTCCTCCCGCCTCTTCCTCCTCCGCCTCCGCCGCCGCCTCCGCTGCCGCTGCCGGCGACCTCCTCCGTGAGTAAAAGCTCCGCCTTCTCTCGCTCTTCCTCTCCTTCTCAAAATCTCCTACGTCAGTTTGTCTCGCTGTTGTCATTGCTCGCTCCGGCGCTTGAAATCCGAGCGACTTTGGAATCCTCGGTTCTGTTTTCTTGCGCAGCTGTTCATGCTGTGGTGCATCGCGTGCTTTGACCGCGCGTTGTGTCGACGTGGTATCTTGTTGTTTATTTGATCTGGTTTTGCCGAGGGCGCGACAAAGCTTCGTCCCTTTTAACTCTGTTAGTTTGTTAAGCTCGTGACCCAATGGATTAAGTGTTTCGGTCAATGAAAATGCATGTGTGGAATGACGGACTTAGCACATATTTCAACTCCTAAGTACAGAAGCATGGCCTTGTCCTTTTTTTTTTTATCCTCTTCTTGTATGCAACGGGATGACTGCTAAGAGGTGAATTCGCTCTACATGGGGCTTTTGCAATTTGGGATTGGAGTAAAGTCACTTAATTTTGTGTTGTTATAAGTGAAAGGTCGATGCATTTATGGATTTATGTACATGTTATTGACTGTAATTGATGGGTTTAATTCGATCGATGTTACTTCCATTAGGCCACTCTCGACACGGTTTTTTCTACTCCATGTTCTCTTTCCACTCTGTTCCTTCCTGGAAGTGTAGGATTGTCAAGAAAACTGTTATTTGGGATTCATATTTTTCCTATAGTGGCAAAATCCGGTGTAACTATATCCTGATATGTAATGTCCCTTTTGCATCAGGAAGGCAATCTCTCGCCTAAGCATCAAGTGGAAGAATGTCGGGGTATGTGAATTTTAGCCGCCTTTTTCTTGTTCTGCTCCGTGATTGTTATTTTTTCATCCCCCTCCTTTTCCTTCTTTCTCAAAGTAATGTAATGTTTCATTGCGAACAGTGAGACGGGGAAGATTGATGTACCTCATAATGTTTTAGATCATCTAATGGGGCCTCATTGAGTAGTTTCTTTTTTCCCCCCAATAGAGGAAAGGATTAGGCTTTTCTATTCTCATTGTGCAATCTTTCTCGTTTAACTAAGTACTTAACTTGATTGTTTATAAAAACTTGTCGGTTCATTGTATGAATCTTCACTTAATTTTGAGTCTATTGCTTTCAGAGAAGAAGATGTTGTTCCTGCACCTGAGGTTGTGGCTCCAGCTTTGGGTGAGCCTATGGATCTCAATACAGCTTTACAAGTTCTGCTGAGGAAGTCACTGGCCCATGGCGGTCTTGTACGTGGGCTCCATGAAGGTGCCAAGGCCATTGAAAAGCATGCTGGACTGCTTTGCCTACTAGCAGAGGACTGCAACCAGCCCGATTACCTCAAGTTGGTGAAGGCGCTCTGCAACGAGCATAATGTCAGTTTGATCAATGTGCCTAGCGCTAAGACGCTCGGAGAGTGGGCTGGTGTAAGTTAGCCCCCTGTTTAATTTTTATATGTGCCATTTTTGATCTACCTGTACAGCATTGATACATATGTTTATCTCAGTGAAGTACATATGTTTATCTCAGTGAGGCCTGGTTTGTTAGTTGAAATTGCAGTATCTTCTTGATTGCTCAGTAATATTTTCCATCTTTTCTGTACAGTTGTGTAAAATTGATTCTGAGGGGAAAGCAAGGAAGGTTGTTGGTTGCTCTTGTGTGGTTGTAAAGGTAAAATTTATACAATAGTCTTTTATTAATCAAAATGGTTTACTACTGCTTTATATGGTTATTGTATTGGCCTTCCTTTTGTGCCCCCTAAAAAAGTGTAGACCGTAGTTGGCGAAACTGGAACTAGCTTTGGAATGTTTTGTTGGGCTATTTATTTCGATTTGCATTATCAGGAGATATTATACAAGCTAGCGTGTTTTAAACCTTTTAAGATTTTCTCAACGATCATTATCAGTGGCTTAGGTACTCATTCGAAACTCTTAAGCGCAAATTAAATCAGACATAGAGATCATTTATGGTGCTTGCTTGTGGTTGTCTATATTGATGCAATTTCTGTTAGTATTGCCATTTCTATCCCCTCAAGGAAACCTGATCTATTTGCAGGATTTTGGGGAGGAGACCGAGGCACGTCATATTGTTATGGAGTATGTCAAGTCTCACTGAGATTAGAAAGCTTTGAGGCATCTGGAGGGGCTTTCTTAGATAGTGATGAGATTTTTCTGATAATTTTTTAAGGAGACAGTAAACCAGTGGACGTTTTTATCTTTGTATGCACCTCTTTCTCATCTTCCTGAGCTGATTGAGCAACTTAGAGCGTTCAACTGTCTTAAGGTATTGTCATCTTGTTTTCTTCCTATCAATATTTGCAACATTTTGACATGTTTGGTTATGAGCATTTCTGGAGTCTCTCTCAGAACCATTGATTGATTGTTTTTGTGCATGATCGATATATTTTTACGTGATCTTCCAACTTTTGAACTTTAGACATTTTGATCAATTCAGTTGCCCAAGAATAAGGTCCACTGGGAAACTAATCGTGCTGCTTCTGCTTTTGGTTTGTTTATGTGCCTGCCAAGGCTGTGGTTCGCATGTGATCGTCCTCTGCAATAGTCATCCTTACAGACAAGGATTCAAGTGCTTGTTTCTTGTGCAATATCATTCAAATATATAAGTGAGAGAAGTGTATTATAATTTGCAAATTACCGAGCTTGAAAAAGTAAAGAGAAAATGATAATTAATGAGGGGGACCTTAAATAGAAAAAAAGTAATGAATAATGGAATGAACAAATAAGTATTCCTAGCAGGTGTTTAGTAGCTACCAAAGGGTCTTGCACTAGTTGTAAGGGTTGATTTCCTCCGGGTATGGTAAAAAGATCGCAATTCATCTACAAAGATCTTTAGAAATTAGTAAAACTTGAAATGCATTGATGAATGCTAATTTGATCAATTGAAAGTACTAATAGCTTCTGTTAAGTTGCTGAGATGTGATATTTTATGTCAAGCTTCAATGTAGATATCGACGTTTCTCTTCACCAAAAGAATGTTTGCTTTTGAAGTTCTTGAAAAGGATGTGGAAAACAAACAGGAACATTGGATGATCTGTTGCGATCGTAGCGGATGTCAAGGAACCGAAACCAGAACCTATTTTTTCCGAATGGTATGTGTGTGGGTGTACAGCCTGCTCCATTTTTCGCTACATCCACTTCATACCCGACCGGACTAAAACAATTTCAACGGCCTGTTAGATGGGTACACTTTATGTGGCAGGGACTTAAATGTCGCACACTAGTTGATTGTCTGCATATGCACAAACCAAAACAACCAGATGGAGCTAAATTTTTTCAGAAAATAAGTTGAGTGAGCAAATCTCACTGCTGGTAGTGCTGAATGAACAGACAGCTGAGAAATGATAATTCGAGAGTACCTCGGCAGCCATTCGCAAGGTAAGAATTGCCTTGCAAACCTTGCGAACAATGGCAATGGTATCTGGATCCATTCTCGGCACGGATACAATGGACGAACTCTTTGCACTAGTAGCTTGTCTTGCTTTTCTTGGCATTCCCGCACGTCTAGTTCCCAAATGCCCAGTCAAGAACTAGAGGGACCTCCGTGAGTCCGAGTTGCGAGAGCCAGGTTCTGCTAAAAAAGAATAGCTGCAAGGACTGAAAGCCGGCAAATCCTTGTGGCTGTGATAGCTCCTGAGACTTAAATCTGTAATTGAATGATTTATTTGGGATGCTTGCCTCGCAGCAGCCGATACTGCGGAGCATGAGCCTGTAATTCACGTCGAATAAGTTTTTGCAGAGGAACATGCATCCGAAAGCTTTATCCCCATCTCGATCAATGGAGAAGGCAGAAGATATCATAAGGATGGCAGTGAACTTGTTCTTGGTGTTGGATATGGGAATATAGTAAAGCTTGAGCCAGGGGTAAAAACTTAAAAGAACCGTTCTAACCGGAAGAGGTGTGGCAGTCCCGAACTCCGTCCATCACCATGCGTATCTCATGATCCTCGAGAGAAATGTCGTCTATTCAGATGTCGCTGCTTCTTCTATTCAAATAGGGTATTGGAGGATTGGTAGTCTTATCACAGAAGATGTGAAATGACCCGGAAGGGACGGCCAAATAACAGCTGCCACCATCACTAGTACCGAATGGAACATGGAATAGCGACGTTTCCGCAACTACTTTGGCATTCGGGATTCATTCATGGCGCTACTTCTGCGATCAATTTTGGTGCGGGGCCAATATGACTCCCAGCATTACCATTGCTGCTGTCCATTGCTGCTGCTGCTACTCTTGGGAGGGATTTATGGCGGACCTAATGAAGGTCTTCCCCTCTTGAACCGAACCATATTGGCTAAGTTGCTGAAACTCAATTTATAGATATTCGGCTTTCTGAGGTACATACCCAGGTTTCAACCCAGCCGCACATATAAATGTCGATCCAGAAGAAGTCCAAGTTGGTGTTTTGATCATCTGCACAAGCTGATTTGACAACAGAACCAGTGGAGTTTTAGCAAATGCTAGGTCAATGCAGGTCGTTTTTCCCGATTGTTTCCAATAAAAGTGGGTCTTCTCTTTTTTACCACAACCATGACCGTGCCACTCGTGCAGCATATATACTAAATCATATCGTTGGAGAACATATAAGAATCTGCAATCATGCAAAATATGGCCAATTCAAAGTATCTGATCAAGTTGCCGATGGTTTAATCATCTATCAAGAGCTTTGTTATAATTTCACAGAAACTCTTAAGTCACATCATATAAGCATTTACTTTTACATTCCAATCTTTATCGGTCTACAGATCATCATGGTACATGAACGTATCCGAAACAAGCTTCTTCTTACAACCCCAGCGGCACTTCCAAGAACACGCGGAGTTGAAGATTGCGAGTCTTGTGGAATGCAGGGAAATGATGTTTGACGTGGAAGGAGACTTCGAAAGAACAACAGCGTACCCGTCGTCCATATAGTCTGTCCCTTCAGGGAACAGCTGCCACAAAAGGCTTCCAGCCCCGCCTCCACCTTTCTTGGTCGAGTCCAAGAGGGTCTTGTACACCGTGCTGAAAAGCGTGTCCCGGAATGACGAATTGTAACCAGGGTCATTAGCATTGACGCCAAATTCAGAAAACAAAACAGGCATGCCAAGATACTCCTCAGCATCCTCAATGTGAGCTTCCATCCATGATTTTGTGAACTGGAGATGCACATCCGAGATTGATTGCGATATCCTTCATCAATGAATTAGCAGTTCAATTAGTGGGAGACACCCACTTTAATTTTTCTAAAGCTATTTTATAAACATAACGAGCACGCATGTGCAATCCTGCATATGCAGAAAGAATGCGCCGCACAATTTTTTCTAGTTTGTCAAATAATTAAGAAAAACACGGTCTATATCTTCTTAATGCCCGATTGAGTTACTAAAAATACATCAGTAGTAGGGTTGTAAGTTTTAATATCAAGCAAAAGAGACAAAAAATCCAAATTGATTTGTTCCCATGACAGAGCAGAACGTTTTTCCACAACCAGGGCCTAGTGCTTACCAAGAGTCTGGATAGATATGAACAGAGGCAAAATCAATCCCGAGAACCTGATGGTTCCTAATGAAGTCAGTACCAACTTGCTGTGCATACGTGTTTGGATTATGCTGAACTTTGTTAGGAGTGGAGAGACCGTAAAATCCTTCTAATCCAATCTCTACCAAATGCTTTGGGTCGATACTCTTCACATACACTGCCATTTCTTCTATCCATGCCTGGAAAGTCCACACATGTTAGTTCGTATGCAGCAAAGAAAGGTTTTACTTTTTGTAAAGAACTCGAACATTACAGAAAATGCCATTACAATCTATGATTCATTTTGCCTTGGGTGAATAATTTTCAATGAAAATGGACCTGCAAGGTATCACCAGATGGATCCGAGGTGCATCGTGGCTCATTCATCAATTCCCATGCAAAGATTGTAGGGTCCTCCTTGTAAGTAATATTTGTGAACGTATTGACTCTATTAAGCACGGTCTGCATAAACCACCTACCAGTAAGCACAAACATATCTGGACCAACAAATGACTCCTATCTCAGACATTAAAATCAGCGACTGGCTTGCCTTAACATGAGCCTTGAAATAGCTCTTAAGAGTTGGATGAGAGAAGAAGTCGTCATCCGATGTCAAGTTCAGGCCAGCTGCTTTGCCCCATTTGACATATTGTGCTTTGCCACCATAAGCTTCCCAATTATTAGTAAACGACAAAATGAGCCGGATTTTGTACTTCTTCGCTTCACTCACCACAAAATCTAATGCCTGAAATTCAGAAAAGAGTGGGAAAAAATTTGCAAATCTACTAATTTCCATGTTCACCCGTGCTGTCCATGTATCTCTTGGAGAACTGCGTGATTAGCAGGCAGACCGAAGGATCGCACTTTTACCAAGGTGAAAGTCAGTAAGTCAGATGGTACCTTAAAAACAACTTCATCATAAACTGATGGAGATTTCTGAAGAGCTCGCCATTGGCCATCATTGAAAGCCCAAGTTCTACAGACCGTTAATCCCACAGCAGATGCTTGTTGGAAAAGCTCGCTGACCTTCCCTCTTGTGGACTCATCCGCAGCAAACACCATCAACCAGTAGGTGTTGAACCCATTGACATAGAAAGGTTGGTCATTAACCACAAACTGGTTCCCATTCTTCTGGACCATTTTCCATGCATCGTCTTCCATGTTATCTAAATAAGCACTGAACATTGTGGAAATACAATCAATCCAAGAAGTTACATACCCAAAAGAGGGCTGCGCGAGTCATCTAAAATTCCTTAAGTTATCATCAATGACGGGAAGATATTACGAGTAACACATGACATGTGCAACGGTGTGGAAGTGCCCTTTTAATATCAAGCAATAGCGCAATAAAGCAACACAATCGAACTCACTATCGTCCACCATTGCATTGAACATGAACAAAGAACAATACCCCTCACTCCCGCTAAAGGAGGGACATTGATTTTCTGCTTCGTCCGCCATCATCTCCAATGGCTCCAATGCCTCGCCACCACAAACAGCCGGTCTGTCATTCCCAAACACCACGAAGACAACCACACAAGAAAAGAGGAGCTTTAGCCCGACATCCATGGCGTCAACCCACAACACCACGCACACCCCCTTTTCCTCTTGAACCACCACCTCTTTATAAGCATCATCAATGGGCAAAGTTTCCTCCCTGTCGGGGAAAGAAAACAAACTGTGAAGTTCAAGAAGAGTGAAGTGGAGGAGATAAGCCCCTCCTCTAGCTTTTAAGCCAAGAAAAGGTTTTGCCCCCACTGGCACTCCGTTTCAGGTGAGTGGGTGTACGGGTTTGGGATCATATCACTCCCAAGACAAGTTTTTTCCTTAAGGGTCCTACCTAAACTGCAGTATTCACAAATCAAAACCCAATCTGGCGCAGGGAAACCACTGGGTTCTTTTCAGAAGTTTCAAGAAGAATCAAAGACAACCCGGGTCGCCATCAGCAAGGCTTGTCGTTAGAATTGAACAGAAGAGAGAGCATGGATCGACTGATCCTTCTCGAGCGCTCGCGCAAATGGGGTTCGAAGCAAACGTACCGGCGAGCAGATCGAGTGTCGACGGCGACGCGGTCGGGTCGTGGAGGAGCTTTGCGTTCTTGGTTGTTCTTGGGTGTCAATGCGCCACGCGTAACCAGAGAGAGAGAGAGAGAGATTGCATGCAGAAGTAGGTGAAGAGCAATGGCGACGCAATACGAAAAAAAAACTTTATTTTTTTTAAACTTAGCATATTTAAAGGTATAATTACCAAATGTTTATTTGATAATTATTAGAGTAAAACATCAACGGACAAAAAGGCCGCACAAGTGAGGTTTGGAAATTAACTTTATGGAATACATATAATTATCAAACAAAAAAACGTGCTTTACTTTTGCTTGCTAAATTACATAGAGACCACCCATTTGGAAATATATTAGAGAAAATGACGAAAAAACAATATATATATATATATATATATATATATATATATACACGCGCACGAATGGTGTCGAAAATAAGCATGATATATGTTACTATTTTCCGGATGGATAGTAAATTATTTTTAGAGAAAGAGGGTGAAAGGATGCACAGTTTATTTTCATCATATGTTTAACTTTTTTCCTCGGGAGAAACCAAAGATATCAATGATCGTGTCCGTAATTGGCTTAAGACAAGGATGCCTCCTTCCTCTTTTGTCTTGTTCTTGCTCCATCGCCGAGCTAAAAACGAGGGAATAATCCTTTTGAAAAGGCAGTGATCGGCCCTTCATTTCCTAGAAACAAAAAAAAAGCATGTGAAATGAGTCCAAATCAACTAATTGCAAGACCGTCTCTCCACCGTGTCTCAAAAGTCAGTCGTATGGTTTCGTTTACATGATAACAATTAATCGAGCGCAATGGCGTAATAGAATTCATATAACTTACTCTATGACTCAATGGGATCGACTTTGGTTCTCGCGGAGGAATTCCAAGCCTTAGTTTTTAGAAACTTCTTATCGCTTTTCCTCGTCTGCCAAAATTATGATTGACAAGATCCGATCTACAACTAATTATAACCCCATCAAAACGTCTTCGACCTATTTACTGAACCCAATTTTATGTGAAGACAAGACAAGATGTTGTTATAGACTTAAGTTTTGTTGGGTTACCCAAGGAAAAGATATTTTAGGTATTGGCTGCACCATGTATCAATGACACAAAACATACATCATAAAGAATAGTTTTTTGAATTGAAACACAAAATTGATTGGAATACATGTCACGTGACGATATGATAAATAGGTCACGTTACGTCAGCCATCAGCCAGTGTCAAATAATCAATATAAAATACTTCGTCTGTCATGTCGGAGTAAAAGATAGCAATGGCAGTGAGTTCATCCCATGACAGAGTAAAAGATAGCAATGGCAGTGAGTTCATCCCAAAACATAGTTCTCAACCGGCCACTCCAAAGGAATATCATATAAATTTCAAGTACGCATGACACCCACGAAAAGGACAACAATATTTAGAAGCAAACTCAATATGTTCAAAAGTTATAACAGGCCCCAAGGCAGGCACTCATGCCTTAAGGTTGATTAACAACTGATCATCATCATGTCTTCATCAACTTGCCAACAGGAAAGAAGGTAGTGAACAACAGTCTAAACACCAGCAGCATTCTTCAATAGACAAGCTTAGGCTAAACAAGATTCACATATGAAAACTATTTATTTTGTTGAAGGAAAGAAGCCGGTGGCCTCACATAAGTAAAGCCTGTGAAGGGGTTTCCTGCGGCAGTGGGACTGGCAGCGGGGGAATCCGCGATGGGCATGTCGGTCCATTTCTTTTCAAAATTGGCGATGCATTGCTTTCCGGCGACTTCTGGAAGAAAACTGGGCGTGATCTCCCGCGCCTCTAGTTTCTTCCAGTTGATTGTCTTGAACCATTTGTGTTTCTTGATGTCCGCGCTCCCATTAGGTCCACTGCCTAGGCGCTTGCTGGGGTCTTTCTGTAGCAGCTGCAGCATGCATGATCATCTTTAGTTCTCTAATGGACTGAGCGATTAAATATGTCAGAGAAAAGGGATAGGTCTCATGATTGGGATAGCTCATGTCATACTTTTTTCATGCAAAACAGAGGGTAGTTGCGGGGGCAAATGAGTCAACAGAGATTGTTCGATTACTATGTGCAATATATATGAGATAATTCAGAGAAAGAAAAACACAAATATGAGATAATGATAAGCTGCCTGAGTAAAATCGTATGCAGACGTTCTTGATGCGATAACAATTACATATATCCATGATCTCAGGATATGTTGTCAAACCTAATGTCAATGCATTTGAACATATACTGCAATCATCAGAGATGGAGGCCATTTGCTGGCTGTGTACCAACTTAGGCATAGCCAGAAATGAAGGCATTAGTGAAAGGTGGATTCGATAAATCCAGTTAGTTAATGGTAATTTATATTTCTCCAAACACATCCCTAATAAAGCTGCAACTGAACTTGCCTGCCTATCCATTCACTTATCAATGTATGATAGCTGATAGCCAAAACAGGCAGTTGCAAGCCCACCTAAAATTCTGTCGTAACATTTGTGTGATTGAGAAACGTTGCATGCACTTTTAACCATACATAAGAAGGGGTAATCTTGCTATGTAGATGGAGCACAAACATCGGCACAAATTTAAACAGAAGATAATTAATACCTAAAAAGACTAAAATAGAGCATGATTGTCCACCAAGTCGACATAATACTGTTGAATGCAGAATAGAAGGTATAGTAATATACACATGCAATGCTGATAAGCAAGCATACAAAACAGGAATTCCTGCAGACTTACTCCTTTCAACAGCGAATGAGCTTCACTGGAAAGAAAATTTTCTAGCTTGATTTTGTCCTTGACTATCTTCTGTTGAACCTTTTGGCGGTTTCCACCAATAAAAGGAGGCTGCATAAATGAATTGAAACGGACAAGATATTAGCTTATTCGGTTTCTTAAAGGTGTATTATGCATAGAACTATATATTCAAATATTCCATCAAATAAAGAGACTGCTCACCTCATAAATAATACTAGAACAAGTACATAAATCATCCGTTGTAAGTAACTAAATTAATACAACTATGAAACTTAGGTTGCTGTGACTAAGTTAGTAAAATAACAGATCTCGTCATAAACACATTTAGCTACTTTCAAGAAGAAATGAAAACTAGATGAAGCTGTAGGATAATTAACCGTCATCAGTCCTAACATGTAAACAAACTTTAACTTAATTAAATAGCCTGGCATATCTAGCGATGCTTTGGTCTTCACAGAAGATCAACCATATTGTATTCATTGTGTAGCCAAAATAACAGCTCACCTGTTACGATGGTAAACCATCAAAGCAAATATATAAAGATCAGCATGGGTGAGATCCAGCAATGGCGTCTCCGTCGAAATTGAAAAATTATGCACAGAAGAACAACTAAAACAAATAACAGGAATGCCAACCTTTCCAGTAAGCATCTCAAATAACAGTACACCCACACTCCACCAGTCTGCAGTTTTATCATGCCCCTTTCCAAGGACAATTTCTGGCGCCATATATTCTACTGTTCCACACAAGGAATTAGATCTTGCATTCTCCTCAAATTGCTTTGCTAGGCCAAAATCAGTCAAAAGGACCTAATCACAAAAGATCATATATCACGTCTCATGAAATTCTAAACAAGGATTGGCAGGATGTGCCAGACTATGATCAGAAACAGAAAACAATCTGAAAAGTCCCAGAGAGAGAGAGAGAGAGTACATGGCCTTCAGCATCCAGTAGGATATTTTCTGGTTTTAGATCCCTATGCATTATGCCATTTGCATGAAGATGAGCCACTGCAGAAACAATTTCAGCAGCATAGATACGTGCCAAATCCTCTCTGAAACAATTTCAAATATAAGTCAACCCCATTACACACTTTATAAATCACACAAAACTTTGGAAGGCAAACCTGAAAAGGCCATGATGATAAAGCTGGAAAAATAGATGGCCCCCATTTATAAAGTCCAGCACGAGATAAAGCCGGTATTTGGTCTGCAATTGCACGCGAAAAGCAATTTCGCTTATAAGACTGAGAAGGGTAGTACGGACATGGCAAAAACATTTAAAGCATTAGTGAAACTACGACCTATTTTTATTATGAAGGTAAGACAGTGGAAGTACCTGGAAAGAATATCTAAGCTGGACAATGAATGGGTGATCAATTTTGGTTAGAATGTCTCTCTCTGCTTTCATGTACTCAGCATGATTCTTCTCCATAATTTTGTCCTTTCTCATTACCTTCATTGCATATATATCAGAAGTGCCCTTTTTCCTCACTTGCAAGACTTTTGCAAATGCACCTCGGCCTACAACCTTTAAAGGCTCAAAATCTTCAAGACAAACACTCTCAACTTTCAAGGGATCTCCTTCAACGGTGTCAAGTTTCTTATTCCCTCCAGCATCAGTCACGGACTCTTGCATTTCCTTGATGGTCTCTCGGTCAAAACACTCCACAAAATCCATTGACTCATCACTTTCACTTAGAGTGAGCATACTCAACCTCAGTGTTTGATTGACATAAGAGGAGGGGCCGACCAGAGAATGCGACCTGCTATATATGACGACTGGATCTTCATAGACGAGTTCATTCACATCTATACCAGATACAGAGTTTCCATCAACACTCACCACCAAGGGGGGTTGGACTGGTACAGGACCAAACACATCAGAGAAATCAAGTTCAATGTTATCCGTGACAACAGCATCCTGAGAATTCATAGGAAAAAGTAGCTTGCTTGAGAATGGCATGCATCTCTGGCTGTTGGTTGATGACTGAGAATAAACCATACTGTCACGTGTATCCAGTCTCAGCGAGGAAGGCCAAACCAATAATCAGCCAGAGATGTTTCCAAAGCTGCTACACGTCGGTCTTTCCAATTATCTTAAGGTCACAAACTGCAGGAGGACTCCTGTCAATGGCCTTAATCAACAGGAAATTCACGTATGCAAAAGCAGTTCCGAGAAATTTGGGCAGCAAGCTGAGCAAAATCCAGAGGTAGAGGCTGTTCTTGTTTCCCGATTCACAGGAAACCACAGATCCTACAGTAATTCTTGAACTCATGAAGATCCGGAAAGCTAATCTGCAGTTCAACGAAAGATAACAGGGACATTAGTGGAGCTAAACCAAATAACCAAATTTCCTTACCAAAAAAAAAACCATATAACCAAATTCATCAATTACAATAAGTCTCCACAAGAGACCATCCAATAAAACGCATGAAAGAATCGGGCCTTGGGGTTCTTCCCCCTCTTTAATCGCCAATGAAGATAATCAAATACAATAACAATCTGGTGTTTTTATTTTGCTGTATTATTTGGTACAATTTTTCAGCAGGAGAAAAAATTTAAAAGGCTCTTGGTCATAAGCATACTTACAATCTCAATTTTTGGAGCACCAAAAGCAGCGTATTGGAATTTGCGAACTTCACTCGTTCGGTTGCTCGAGCAGTGCCCGGGACTTGTTGACAAAATCTAAAATTAATCGCACGACTGCATTAGAATTTGCATTCGTGATGCGCAACCACCGCCCTTTATCAGACAAAGATGAAAAAAAAATCGAGACTTCGGACACCCAATCGCAGCAAAATGAACGACAGTGAAAACGTCTTAAAAAATTCCCAAAGAAGAAAAAGCGGTCAACTTTGACCGTTCTACAGCCTCCCTCCTTTAGACAACGAGCTAAACCATAAATCTAAAACTAACCCAGAAAAAAGGAAAGACCAAACTCTACAAGACAGAGCCCGAAACACAGATCCGGACAACCAAAACCTCCTCAAACAACCTCAATCAAGCAACAAAATCCTCGTAAACCAGGGAAAAAAAAAACGACAGATCGAACAACGAAAAGTTCCCCGCAAATTCAACCTCCAGCCCAGAAACCAGAAACAAGCACATCGTCGAACACAATCACCCAAGACTCGAAATTTCCCTCTTTTTCCAGGGAATCCTCGCCAGACGACACGAATCGAGGCGGAATCGAACCCAGAGAAACCGACCCAGATGAAGAATTCGGATGCAGAGGCGCGGGAGATCGTACCTGAGAAGAATGGAGAGACAGGGCGCGCTAGAGAGAGAGCTGGAGAGAAGCGTGCTGTGAAGAACGTGTTCGGAAAGCGAGTCTCCTAAGGCACGGAAGCTTATCGCGTCGCCACATAAATACGAGACAATGCCCCGGTGCCTTCCGCTTCCGCCTTGCGCCCCACACGTGTCGCGACGCGAGTGGTCAGCCCTCGCCTTAGGGGAATGGGCGTGCTCCGAAAGGGAATAAGAATATTGTATCTCGAAGTGAATTTTGGAATATGCCCCCCCTGGTGATAAGATCGTTCTTGGAATCTAATGAGACATGGCATTTTCGATCCAAAAATTAAATTTTTTGCTCGACAGCTAAGTGAGTACAAATTTGTTATTTTCGATGCGGGTTGAAAATTTTTCTAATTAAGTGTGATCGTGTGCGACAAAGATATTCATTAATAACGATGCGACGGATCATTATTGAATGTTTAATTTCGTTCATTTGATTAAACGTTTCTTCGGAATTGGGAAAACACCAACAATTATCTCAAATTATGCCTATTGTGACGCCAAGACCTTAACCCTTTTTTTTTTTCGCGATAACCTCTAGGCATTTATCGACCTGACAAAAATATCCTCTGTTCGTCGCAAAAAATTCTTAATACCCCAATTTTTTTTTCTCGTCACCAATACCCTGAACTTGTATCGATGCAACAAAAGTCTAGGGGTGTCAGTGCCATGTAGACACAGTTCAAGCGTCTTGGTGACACCGAAAAAGACGCCTAGATATTATTGTCATGATGCTTTCTGGTGATTTAAAAGAAAGTTTCGAGCGTAGGTGTCATGGTAAGCAAGCATTGTTTAATGTTTTTTTTATTTCGCAAATGAATTTTTGAAGTTTCTTAGGGCCGTTTGACAAGTTGTCAAATAGTGAAAATTTCTGTTCTTTTGTTCCCAGAATCAGTTTGGGAGCAGAAATCCGTTTTTAAAATTTTTGTGCTCGGGTATAAATTTGTAAAAAATTATTCCCAGAATCAGTTTTGGAATAGAATCAAGACGGAAAAAAAATAGCTTCTTGATTCTTGGAACAATTTTTCCATTTCTGATTCTTCTTAATTTTCTTATTTCTCTTGATTTGTTGTTCTTCGCTTGCCGCCGGCCACTGGTGACTAGCCACAGGCCAAGGCCGACGAGGGCGTCGCGGTCCTCACCGCCTGGGCGAGGGCGGCTCGCGGCAGTGACGGCGAGGCCGACCTCGCCGTCGTGACCCAGGCCCTTGTCGTCGCGACCCATCTCCTTTGCCTGGATCGCGACCGCGAGGTCGACCTCGCCAGATCTGGGCGAGGTCGAGCCTCGCCCAACCAAGGCGAGGCCGACCTCGCCGTCGCGATCGGCAAGGGCCACGATGCCCTTGCCGGCCCTGGCCTGTGGTCGGCGACGGCAACCGGCCATGGCCAAGGAAGGGAAGGGAAATAAAGAAAAAAAAAAGAAAGAAATATTAAAAAAATTCAAAATATTATTTAATAAAAAGAAATTTTGTATATAGTCATCAAACGCATTTCTGTTCTTTTTCTATTCTAAGAATGAAAATTTTGGGCAGTTATCAAACATCTTCAAATACTTAAAAATTATTTTCGGGTATAGAATTATTGTCATGTTCACCCTTACTATACTTGCATTGCAGATAATGACAACAACGACACTTGATCCGTCACGCAATCCCCAATCGTTCACGCAACTCGAAAAAAATACTCTTTTTTAAATTTTGATGTATATCTTATTCATCGTGGACGGCGTTCTCAGTTGGCGACCGGGTGGGAGTCCACCTCGAGCAAGCGCGCGCACGCCACGCTCTCTAGTCCACTTTTGAACGAGAGAACGAGCACCGTTGGAGCCGCCGATTGAACAGCGGTGGGCCAAAAGAGAAGTCAATCTCGAGAGATTTGATTCTTTTTGAATATTTTATCGTGGTTGGTTTGGCCGAAAGGGGATCTTGTTTTCTTGGACGGCAGCTTAGCCTCTTAGCATTTAGATTCGATACTCATCCAATCATGATGGATCGATAATTGTTTGTTTTATACTCCAAAAGTTCGCTCTGTGCAGATTGATTTTGACTGTTAAGGGAGAAAAACGGATTTGAAAGTTGTAGTGGGACAAAATCGATCCTAGAACAGGTCATCTACAAAAGTGATGAAGTATGTTTTTCCAACTTTACTTTTTACAAACTTTAAATCGCATAGATCACCCTAAATTAGTTGTAGAGGATTACTCGTTCTCTCAACAGATTTGAAATATTTCTTAGCAAACTTAGCCTTAACAAAAGTCTCACGTTTGTAATGGGCATCTCACTTAGACCTTGGAATTAGCCCCAAGTTTGATGTCTTCTTTATTGTACCATAATTTACATATCCTAATCCGCTTAGTTGCAATTCTTATCCCAGTGGCCAGGTTTATTGCAAACAAAACATGTCCAAGAAATTTCTAGGATTGTTCCTTTTGCTTCGAAGCCTCCAATGCCCTGAGCCTTGTGACATCTCGCTCTTTAGAACTAATTAGCAGGCACATCTCTGATAAGTACTTGACTCGAGTAGGCATGATTGGTAGGAGAAATGCTACCACTACTTAAAGCTCACGCTGATGAATTTCTCCAGTTTCTTAGGTTGCGCATGGCAACTTGCCAAATAGTGTTTGATTATATTCTTTTGTTTTCGGAATCAGTTTGGGAATAGAAATCCGTTTGTTTAATTTTTTTGATTCTGGGCACAAATTCTTGCAAATTTGTGCCCAGAATCAGTTTTGGAGCAGAATCAAGAATAAAAAAAAAGTAGCTTCTTGATTCTGGGAACAAAAATGAGAATCAGTTTTTTTTTCTTCTTCTTTTTCTTGGTTTTTAATATAGCTTCTAATGTCCGGCGCGAAGGCCACCCTTGCCGTATCTGGCGAGATTAAAATATTTTAATAAAAATATATTATTAATAAAAAAAATTTACCGGCCATGGCTAGCGACCAGGCCATGGCGAAAAAAATAAAAAAAAATATTATTAATAAAAAAAATTTACCGGCCATGGCCAGAGACCAGGCCATGGCGAAAAAAAATAAAAAAAATATTATTAATAAAAAAAAATTTATCGGCCATGGAGAAAAAAATAAAAAAATTTATTTTCAATAAAAATATTTTCTATTAATAATATTTTAATAAAAAATTATTAATAAAAAATTATTTTACCGGCCATGGCCAGCGACCAGGCCATGGCGAAAAAAAATATTATTAATAAAAAAAATTTTATCGGCCATGGAGAAAAAAATAAAAAAATATTTTCAATAAAAATATTTTTTATTAATAATATTTTAATAAAAATTATTAATAAAAAATTATTTTACCGGCCATGGCCAGCGACCAGGCCATGGTAAAAAAAATAAAAAAATAATTTCGATAAAAATATTTTTTATTAAAATATTATTAATAAAAAAATATTATAAAAAAAATATTTTACTGGCCATGGCCAGCGACCAGGCCATGGCAAAAAAAAATAAATAAATATTTTTAATAAAAATATTTTTTAGTAAAATATTTTTAAAAAAATTATTAATAAAAAAATTATTTATAAGAAAATTTTTTACCGGCCATGGCCAAGAAGGAGGAGAAGAAAAAAAGAAAAGAAAGAAATATTAAAATATTTAAAATGTTATTAAAATATTATTAATAAAATGAAATTTTATGCCGTTACCAAACGCATTTCTGTTCTCGGGCACAGAATTTTGGGCCGTTACCAAACGCCTTCAAATGCTCAGAATCAGTTCCCGGGCACAGAATCAAAAAGAATCATTTCTGACCAGAATCTATTTCCGGACACAGAATGGTTACCATGCACAGCCTTATTCAGTGTTACTAGAGGTGGAACCATTGAAGAAGGCAAGGCCTGTTGATTTATACCTATACTACCATAGATGGTCTCAGCCCCAAGGCCCGCATCATTAACTGCCACAACACCAGGCCCTGAGGTATGAACCTCTCCACCAGCAACGATCAAAAACCGCCAATACAATTTCATTATATAAGCATTTAATATATTTTTTTTATCGTTGTAGTTCTCTACAATGAGTGCCACCTGGACTTCTGATTTGCAAGATATCGATCATTTTTCTTTGATTATTTACATTATTTGTTCTCAATATTGTAATAATACTATTAATTACATATGAAATCTCCCTATCTCATATTATAGTGGCAATTGAAATTTTTTTTACTGTTATAGAAGCCATATATTTAACATTAATAGAGAATATGAACTAACAATTTCGCTTTCTTTTTCAAAAAAGGAAAATTCATATTGAATGTGATACAATTTAACGAATCATATATACTAAAATACATACTTCAAATTTATACAATTGAAATAATTCACGCCCTTGGTAGTTACGTAAAAGTTACCAGTCAATAGTACTGTTACTTCATGTTAAAAATAATTATCAATTATGCATGAATGCAACTTACTATATATAGCGAGATATACCAATATTTACTTTCTTAGAACAAACTTACTAATTGCGTGAATAAGTTTCTATATATCTCATTAAAAGTTTTACTTTGATGCGTTAAAAGTCACTGTATTTTTTTTTCGACCAAAAAACACTTAATTCTTTTAAGAAATTACTAAGAAAGATTGAAAATTGCCTTTACAACGAAAAATTGCTTATAAAATAGCGAAATTGTTAGTTATTAATAAGTCCAGAATTACTTTTTCGATGTAAGAAAGTTCCTATTCACAGTAAAAACATTGTGAGTGTGATTACTTACTCGCTGTTCTAACTGAAAAGTGACTACTTAGGATAGATTGAATGGTAGATATTTTATACTGAAAAAATTCTTAGCTCCGGATCATTAATTTTCAGTAAAACAAGCGAAGCTTAATCACTTGAAAAATTTACTAACCCAAACAAATTGACTTCCTTTTTTTGATATAAAAAAAAACTTACTAAGATGGGTTTGTTTCGCAAAAAATGAATGATTTGGAAAATATTTTCTTGAAAATGATTGCTTGTATTACTTAAAATAATTAGTCAATGAAAGATGTTTTCATTACCTACAATAATTTATGTATAAAAATTTTTGTAGATGATGACAATATTTTTCGTTCATTCATTTTTGTAAGTAATACAAGCGATCACTTTTAGGAAAATACTTTCTAAATTATTCATTTCCACGAAACAAATGGAGCTAAGTTTTTGCAAAAAATATTTTCCGGCATTTGGATTATTTAAGAAAATGAGTCAACGAAAATCTATGCTTAAGTTCACGAAATTAATTTCCTCTTTAAATAACCGGAAATTATTTCAAAATATGACAAGAAATCGGTGCTTGAACAATAAACCATACACTTGGGCACAAGAACCTCAACGCTAATTCTTTGTGTCCCCTTCAAGACCAGGTCCCCAACGCTTAGGATTGGGTCTAGTGAGGTTAGGCTCGCAACCCCAGTGCTTGTGCTCGGGTCCCCAGCACCCACGCTCGGGTCCATCAAGGCCAGGCACGAGGCCTTGGTACCTGTGCCCGATGCCTCGGCACTCGAGCCCAATAGGTCCACAAAGGTCAAGTGTGGGATCTTGATACCTGTGCCCAGATCCTTAGCACTCGGGTCTCAAGCTCACAAAGGCCATGCCCGAATCCCCCGCGCTCGTGCTCAGTCCCCAATGCCCGAGCCAATGTCTATTAAGACCGAGGCATAGGACCTCTCCGCCCCGTACCCAAGTTCATTGAAGTCGAGCTTGGAACCTTGATGCCAGGTCCAAGCCCAGCTTCAATGGACCAAGGCTCGAGTTCGAGCCTCAAAGACCCTGCCACAAGTAGTGGGGTCCCGCACTCAGCCTTGGTGGACCCGATCCCATCCTTGATAGACTCGTGCTTGGGTGTTGGGATTCGAGCATGGGCATCGAGCTCTCAAGCCCGGCCTCTGTGGGCTCGGGATCGATGCCCGTGCTCGTGCCTGTGACCCAAGTGCCCCAATCGAGGTCCTGCGGTTAATTTCGTGTTCATCACAACGCTTTCACTGTGAGGAAAGCTCAATATGATCGTCACGTCACGTCACGTGACGTAAAGGAGGAAAATTTGACTGGTTCCACGACGGTTAAAGTATGACCAAAAAGAAAAAAAGAGTCGGTTACAGGATTCATCGGTTAGGATCACGGTTCCATGAACAGGAAATCGAATTTGAAAACATGGACGCGGACGATTACCATTCGCTTCTCGAAAATAATTTCTTATCGTAAATAAAAAATATATATTTTTATTTTCTTAATAAATTTTTAAGCAGAAAGTAGCGTTTGATAACGATATAAAATTTCTATTGCCGAAATAGAAATTCATTTGATAGCATCGATGTAGAATTCGTACATCCGAGCGGTGGCTGGAGGTGGCGGCAAGGGTGAGCTTAGAAGAATTGTTATTTCTATTCTTGAAATTAAAAAAAAAAACTATATAGATTTTCACCTCTCAAAACTATTTCAAACCTATTTTTGGGTCAAAAATTTGTTTTGAGAATAGAAAAATGAAATTGCGTTGCCAAACAGAATTTTATTCCAAACTTGTACTAAAAAAAAAATAAAAAATAAAAAAATAAAATGATTATCATTCGCGTCAAGTTTTCGAGTTTCTGGTGTGGAGCGTACCCATACGGGACCGGGAACCGTTTACTTGAGTCAATCACACTGAAAAAAAATAAAAATAGAAATAAAATATGCGTTATTTGTTTTTATTATTTATCTTTGCGGCAGGATTGCCAGTATATATACACCAAATCTCTCTCTCTCTCTCTCTGTTTTTCCCGCTCCCATTTCAACTCGCTGATCGCTCTCGCTCCGAAGCTCCCTCGTTCTGGTACGTAACGTCTTCGAACAACCCCTCGCCATCCACGCTTTCTCCCTTCGATTTCCCGCCGTTGCTTCCGTTCGTCTTTCTCGACGCTTCGTCGGCATCGATCGATTGAAATCGGTCGCGGCGATCACGCCTGAGCAGCGCGAAATCGTTCTCTTGCATGCACATTCATCTAGATTCGTCGCCTAGTAGAAATGAGACGACGAACGGATGACAAAGCTGTTCCGGACTCGAAATTCTAGTCATTCGGTTTCGATATTCGGTCAGGATCATGCTCTTGTGCGCGATCGGAAAATGTAGGAAGCGACTGCGTTGTTCTCTGCTTCGGTGATGGCGTGCTTGATTTCATGTGGAGTCGCTGCTGCCGGATCGCCATTGTATCAGAAGCGATTGCGTTTTCAATGGATGCGTCTGAGTCTGTGGTACGTGTGTGCTTATCGAGCGCGCCATTGTGCTCGTGAGTTGCTTGATTGCTTGCTCAGAGAGGAAGTGCTCTCCTTTTCTTATGTTTTCAAGTGGAAGTGTCAATGTCGACAGGGTAAGTCGTTTTCGCAGAGCATGAGAACTGGAGTTTAGAGTTCTTATTAGGAAATTAGAGAGAATCAAAATGGATTGGTAAGGGGGAAAACTTAAAGACGCTTATAAGTCAGATGCATGTGTCGGTTCGATCACTCGTTCCGGTTTTTGACATGGGTACTGATATTGCGCGGTGATTGTAGCTTTCTAGTATGTTTGATTATTGAGTGAATCTTATGGCCGAAGAAACGATCAGATGTTGGATGCCGGATGTTATGCAGCTGACTGTAATGTCGATGTTTTTTTACCTCTGCTTCAAAGTTAATGCTCATTTATGTCTTTTTGAATCAGCTTCGACGAATATTAAGAACCTGTACCCAGATACTTCCGGTCAATGGCTAGTGAATCAAGGAAAAGGAAGAGCCCGGAAAGGGAATCGATGCCGTTTGGTGATGATAGCGGGAAGCCACGGATTTTGCTTGCGGCTTGCGGGTGCGTGGCGGCTGTACAGTTTGGGCATATCTGCAAGTGTTTCTCTGAATGGGCAGAAGTGAAAGCCGTCGCCACTGATGATGCCTTGTCTTTCATAGATAGGGCAACGATTCCTAAAGATGTAGTTCTTTACACAGATGAGGATGACTGGAGAAGTTGGGGAACAACGGCTGATGGTATCCTCCACATTCAACTCCGCCGATGGGCTGAAATTCTGGTTATCGCTCCTGTATCAGCGAATACATTGGCCAAGGTAAACTTTCCATGCAATTTTGAGGTATTAGAGCGTGGAAATGGATGGTTTTATGGAAGCCAGATGATGTTAATTAGAAGTTCATTACATACATTATTAACCTAGAGCTTCACCTTCTTTCTCCTCGTTGCTTTTAGTTTTAGGGAAGATCACAGGAAGTTGGTGACATTTGTGTCCTGTCCAATCCAGGCCTTGAAACAAAAGTCAGGTTTTACTGTAAGCTTCCTATACCTAAAAAGTGGACTAAACTCGGTACCTGTAGTTGGCCTAATCTCCTTCCTTACTTGCTATGTATATTGAGTAAGTGGAGTGCAAGGAGTATTTACATTTGGTACATTGGACTGTGAGATTTATAACGGAGTCATATATTAAGCAGGAGTCTTTCTGGTTGTAAATCATCCTTTTCCTTGCTTTTCCACTAGATTTATCACCAGAATATTGGTGTTGATCTATGCCTGTTAGTGTAACATCTAAACAAATATTTTAAAACTTTCAGATATACTATGTTAATCTTCTAAGAAGGTTCGCTAGTCGTCCCAGTGCACTTCTCAAAAATGACCAGTGCAGCTGGAAAATTCTCTCTGCTCTTTTATCAAAGTTGTGTTGTTGTTTAATCCTTTAGTGAATGATGTAGCTTGGTCATCTTCACCTCCTTACTGTCTAATAATGCAGTAGATGGTAAGATTGCATTCTAAATAGATTAATTAAAGAATGTGGCGAATTCCTTATTAGTGTCTAATAATGCCATGCATGGTAATGTTCACATCATTTGTTTAACCCATTTAGTATACCAGTCTCATCTTTAGCATTACTCAAAAGTATCTCTAGAACCACTGGAGATGTTGCTAAAATTTCTGTTCTGTTCCCTCGGTTGTTCGTCTAGGATGGAGCACTATATTTTTATGAAACTGAAGTAGGACATAATCAACGCGCACATCTAGAAAAGTGCTTAACCATATGAACGGAATGAGTTCATCTTTACCAAAAGATTTGTGCTTATTGAAAGGTTTCTTTTTAAAGCCGAGTTTTATGAATTGGGATGCGCTACACTCTTCCACTGCATAATGTCAACTGGTAAGTCGGTCTGAGCAATACAAGTGTTATTATGACGAATCTAGCAGAATGAACGGCTTTTTTCGCCCTTTCCTTTGGATCTTATGTCTTCTGATTTTTATTTCCTAGACAGTTGACGTCCATCCTCTTGTAGATTGCAGGTGGTTTGTGTGACAATTTGCTGACTTGCATTGTCAGAGCATGGGACTACAGCAAACCAGTTTTCGTCGCTCCTTCAATGAATTTTTTCCTGTGGAAAAGTCCCTTCACCGACAATGTTCTTCTGTCTCTTAAGGAGCTTGGGATTGCTCTCATTACACCAGCCTCTAAGTCGATGGCAGATGATGGAGACCATGGAAATGGCACGCTGGCCGACCCAGTGAATATATACGGAACTGTCAGACTCTCCTACGAGTCTCGTCGTCGGTCTGGTGGCAGTGATGGCTAGCAGGAATGTGTGAATGCAACTGAAGAAACTGGAGACTTGATTAGTTCTGTATGGCTACTATGCTACTCTAGTTACTGTTGCTCATGTTTTTGGGCGATTAGAGTACTGTTCCTGTACATACAATAATACTTCATCTCACATGCTGACACCGGAAATGAACCTCGATAATCCCTTCTTTTGGCTGGGGTTAATTCCAGATTAGTAGTATCAATAACCACAGGATTGCATTCAAAAGACGGTTCATATTTTGCAAGACTGTGCTGCACAATGAACAGTCGGTATTGTAAATGCTGCTGTTTTTTTGCATGCCTTTGGGTTTGGAAGGTAATAAGAGGGACGAACAGGCTGTTTTTGCTTCTTCTTTTTTGTTATAATTCATGGGGTACGGGATGAAAGACCTGACTACCTACAGATTCATGAAACAATTCGGAAGCTCCAGAACCGGTTAAATCCAGACCTTTGGCCCGTGAGAGGTGCCCCTGACTCGGGGCACAGTTTGCATGCAGTTGATAAGATTGGAACTAATTTCCTAAACTGAAAATCCCTAATGCCCCAACCAAATGCACCAATCCCGAGAGGCTTATCAACGGTTGTTTTACTTCGTGCTGGCGTGGGAACTCCACGATAGTCGGATTGGGCCGTAGGGGTCCAACATTTGAATTTTCGTGGCCTAACACCTTTGACAGCGGCAACATGCGGTACTCCGATTACGTTCTGCCTATCATGATCAGCGTCTCCAAAGCAAAAGCCCAGTGAAGATAGAATCTGCCCCCTTGTGCTTGTCCTTCTTATCATCGCAACTACAGGTCGTGAACCAAATTCTAACCGCGGAGCCTGTTCCGACAGCCGAATTCGTCTTGATCATGTCGTGTTTCGTCCGGCGCGGACCCTCTTTCGTCCTGATCCTCGACTAAGGCGGGGGGACTCGCGGGGTTCGCGCGCATTCCGACAAGATCTTTTGAGCTTTGACGGGGTGATCTTGCGAGGGATGCTGTCGAAGGAAAAGTTGCGACTTTGCTTCTTTTAGGACCCACTTCGAGCAGCTGCTGATTTGAGGTTTTCTCTGGAGATTGTATGCTGCGGCATCAGGGTTGTTCCCGGGGTTTTGCGGAGTTGCCTGGACTTTCGTTCCTTGCAGATGAAGTGTTCGACGAAATGCCCGTGAAGGGTGACTGCCGTAGTTTGCTCCAGTATTGAACCGGTGACGACGAACGACGATTGCGGGGATTCATTTGGGTCGGTGTTTTTCTTAAGTTGAAACCTTGAATGGAAGCCAAATTCGTTTTTTTGCAAAGACGGGCGATTGCGAAATGCTTTTCTCAAGAGTTTCTCGCCTCCTCCTTCACAAATCCAATGACCAAATCCCGGTCTCTTTGTTTCGTCACCTAAAGACCCTCCCTTCAGCTTCCTCCTTCGATGAATCTCCTCTGCAGACCCGCAAGAAAGATGACTACTTTGCAGTTGTCCAGCACATTTCCAACATTGTTCGCCACGACTACTACATGGAGCGGACTCTCAACAAAATGCGCGTTTCCCTAAACTCCGACCTTGTCTACCGCGTCCTTCGTGCCTGCTCCCGCTGCGGCACCGAGTCGTTACGGTTCTTCAACTGGGCTCGCACCTGCCAGCCTGCTTCCTATGCCCCCACTTCAGTTGAATATGAAGAGATTGTCATGATCTTGGCTCAAACCAAGAAGTATGAGTCCATGTGGAAGATCATCCACCAAATGAAAAGTCAGCATCTGGGTCTTTCTCCAAAAACTGCGTGTTTCATCATTGAGGAGTTTGGTAAGCATGGGCTTATTGATCAGGCGATCGAGATCTTCAATAAGTTGAAGCACTTCGATTGTAAGCAGAATGTCGATGTTTACAATTCTTTGCTGTTTGCTCTTTGCGAAGTTAAGATGTTTCACGGGGCTTATGCTCTGATCAGGCGGATGATCAGAAAAGGAGAGGTTCCGGATAAGCGAACCTTCGCAATCCTTGTTAATGGCTGGTGCTCTGCTGGTAAAATGAGGGAGGCACAGGACTTTTTAGAGGAGATGAGTAGAAAAGGGTTTAATCCTCCAGTGAGGGGTCGTGATCTTTTGATTGAAGGGCTGTTGAATGCAGGTTATTTGGAGTCTGCTAAGGGAATGGTGAGGAAGATGACTAAGGAAGGGTTTGTGCCTGATGTTGGGACCTTTAATTCTTTGATGGAAGCCATTGTGAAATCCGGGGAGCTTGATTTTTGTCTTGGTCTTTATCATAGCGTATGCAAACTAGGACTATGTCCTGACATCAGTACTTACAAACTTTTGATTCCAGCTGTTTCTAAGGCAGGAATGATTGATGAGGCTTTCAGGCTTCTGCATAAATCGATTGAGGATGGACATAAGCCTTTTCCTAGTCTATATGCACCTATAATAAAAGGGATGTGCAGGAGGGGACAGTTTGATGATGCAATTAGTTTCTTCAGCGAAATGAAACTTAAGGGGCATCCACCTAATCGGCCAGTTTATACAATGTTGATAACCATGTGTGGACGAGGAGGTAGGTATGTAGAGGCTGCTAATTATTTGGCGGAGATGACTGAGTTTGGCTTTACGCCCATTTCCCGGTGCTTTGACATGGTTACTGATGGCTTAAGGAGTTGCGGGAAGCATGATCTAGCTGAAAAGATGATGCAGTTAGAGGTCTCCCTACAGTGATTCATGATGGCTATTTTAATTTTGAAAGGTATCATCGTTGTCATTTAAGACGTGATGTCAGCTGTAACAGTCATATATTCACTTGGATTGAAGCTTCAACCTGACGATCATGAAGTCCAGAATTTACAGATTCTTACCCTGATGTTTTATCCATCAATGTTTCTCCTTAAGATTTCTTTTCCACACATTTGCTGGCTTGACAATCTGGGTGCCCTCGAATCAAGCAAGGTCTGATCGAGGAGGATTTTAGAGGCTTTGTCCTACTTTCAAGACATCCAGTTTGTTGGGCAGTGACTATCGCTAGTGTATAATTTATGAACAAGTTTGAGAGTAGAAAGCCCATTGGAGAAGCTTGAATTGGATATGCTGAAACAAGCGAAATTGGATGTACATGGTTTGGCATAAGCGCAGTATGGCTTGCTTCTTTTTGGAATTTCATTCTAGTTGTTGTTGGACACCTAGTAACTATTTCAGTTTTGCCTCAGTAGATTTGATCTTTAAGTTTTTTTGCTCTGTCTCGATGGAGTCACTGTTGACAGAGCCTCTAAATTCTGGTGATAAGACCTCGGAGTAGCCATTATGTATCTATGATGCGAGGGTTTCTATCTTTTGGGTTGAAGCTGAAAAAGAAAGCAGAAGACGCTATAAAAAATTTCTTGCAGGATCTGTTGCTTTGGGTTGAATTTTTAAAGGAAGATAGTCCTCATGGTCGTTTCATGTGGTGATCAAAGGAAGCTGACCGTTGTCGATGATTACGTAATTGAGAAGAGTAATTTCAGCAGACAGTTCCTGTTTCGAATTGGGATATTGGACAGGCCAATTCTACCCTCTCTCCTGCTTGTGCTGCAACAACATTAGTGAATTTTTATCTTAATGTGGAAGCTCTGCAAAATCCCGTTAGGATCAAAACGGGAAACTTTTTGTGGACAGTTCCTGGAAAATCAGAGTTTTGTAGTTAATGCACTGCACAATGTCAATGCTCGGTTATATGCTGATTGATGGTCTTGTATTTCCAGAAACTATTCTTGAGTCAGGAACACTGCCCAAGAGACGTGGCCAACTAGAAAAACAAAAAGGAGAAGAAAATCTTCGAGGTTTCTGTTCAGATTTGAAAACAAGAAAGAACGAACGCGTAGAATGTACTTTCACCTACATCGCAATATTAAGTAGTGGGAGACAGTATTATACATTCAGAAAGAAGCACACCAGCATGGGGACCTGATTTATACGTCGTAACCGACATTGCAAACAAGAAGACCAGAGACTTCATCTGAAGAATCCAGACACATAGCAAATTGAAATCTCAGATAGACCTAACTAGATTGCCAAAGATAGCAGTTGCCCTAAATGATGTCCTTTGGCATTGTTGTGGTTCACCCTGCCTTCTCATCATAACCATCATCACATGCACTGCATCTTTGCCTTCTGATCATCTCACAACCCATCAGGACTGGGGTCACAAACCCCAGATGAATCAAGTTCTGATCCAAAAGCTGACTCAGGGAAGTTTCTCTTAGTCTGCTTAGAAAGTGAAGAACTTGAAGGGCTTTTGAGTGCCTTTTTGTAGGTGTTTGTAGTGGTAGGATCTTCTCAGCATATGCTTCGAAGGAACAACTTTTTCTCCTCCACTTTGTATTAGTCACCAACATCTTAGAAATCACAAGGAATCTTCTGTGACTTCACTCGCTCTCTCTCTCTCTCTCTCTCCCTTTTTTTTTTCCTGAAATGGCACACAAGATAGTTGCTACACACATCAGACTGATGATTACATCGGCAAGCAATTCAAGGGCACAAAAATATCTTATATTCTAGTCCTAGTCGATAAAGCATCAGGTTCTTCACCAGTCTGATCAATGGATGCAAAAGGGGCATTTTAAGGGCATATTCCGAATTCCAGGACTCTTGAGTTGTTCTGTGTTTGATTTCGGCCAATAATTTAGACTTCATTCTTTGTGGAGAATGGATTTTGGGGAAGTCAGATGTTGCTTTCTTATGAAGCATTTCCAAATCATCTCCTGCTCAACACTGTAGAGTGCCTAAAAGGGTACAAAGATCTGGTGCATCAACACACCAAGAGCGTGAATAAATCATCTAAGCTTGTGGATCCTCTGTCTGATCACTCTTGAGGCAAGTAAGCTGTCCGCAAATGAGAAGTCTCTCTTTTCAGCTGAAACCCAATGAGGAAATACTCAGTTACACATCAGTCCTCCATCACATGATGATCAGATCCAATCATGAAGAGTCAAAGCTTTGACAGCACCCAAGGAACAAGAAAACATGAAGTCAGCTCTCCCAGACCATATTTCTAGTGATGGACCATGTGGAAGATTTTATCTCATGCATCTACTGCACCACCACTTCTTATTAAAAAAAAAAAATATCTACTGCACCACTTGTGTGAAGAAACGTGCCAATAACTTTTCTAAAAAGCGATTTTGTGCGGGACAACTGGCTTGCTTTTCGTGTGTCATAACACATGACACGTCAAGTCTGTGTTCGTTTGCGGAAAATATTTTTCGCATTTTTCGATGTTCGGGGGCGGAAAATATTTTCCTTTCCGACCCCCAAATCTTTCATTGTTTTGAGGAAAATGATTTCCTCTTTTCACAAAGAGGAAATTATTTTCCCCCAAAGTGAAGGCAAAATTGCCCATGGGAGGGAAAATGTTTTCCGTGGGAGAGGAAGTTGATCGCCGGTCACCGCCGTTGGCTGCCCGCCGCCGGTCGCCGGCCGCCCGCCCGCCCGCCCGCCGTCGGTCGCCCGCCCGCCGTTAGCTGCCGCCGCCCGGCCGCCCGCCCACCGCCGCCGCCGCCGCCTGGTCACCGTCGCCGCCTCCGGTCGCCGCCGCCCGGCCGTACCGTACCACGCCGCCGCCGGTCGCCGGCCGCCGTCGATCGCCGGCGAAAAATATTTTCCGAAACTTTTTCATATTGGTCACCGAACACCGGAAAATTATGTTCCGGAAAAACATTTTCCAGGAAAATGACTTCCGGGAAAATATTTTCCAAAAGGAGAATATTTTCTGCCAAACGAACGGAGCCCAAGTGTACGAATATTTTTCTCATGGTCACGACAACAGAGGATGGAATTTGACTACCCGGTAAAGAGATTTCAAGCAAATTCGAGACGGAAACAGAAATTAAGTAGATGATTCAATACATTAATGACTGATCAATATAATCAGATGGACTACCATGACAGTTTCTTGTGTTCAACCCCTATCACAAATGATTTCCTTTTCATTTTGAGCCAAACGTTATCGACTACCGGCCGTACTCGCTTAAACTTAACATATTTTTAACCATCTCATTCATGGAATTGTTACGTCACAACATTCGCATTCAATCTAATCCAATAACTTATATACACCTTGAAGAGACTTACACGACTATATCAATTCCTCGATTTTCATTCTTATTTCTAACTTTGATATTTCAATTATTTCATTTTACTTGATCGAATGGACGCCCCCACGTAGCCACGTTTCAAAATCAGAACTTTGTGACAAAGCAATTACGAGAGATCTTCAGGTGCTCCGAAATGACCGTTTCGTCTGTCCATCCAAATGAACGGAGCTCCAGACATACTTTACATCTCGTCATTTTTTCCAAAAAAATGAATAATTATGTTATCGGTCGATACAATTACTGACGACGCGGTTTTTCGCCCATCTGAACCGTCGATGATGCGGATCTCATCTCATCACGTGTTTGGGTCATGATCCTCGTCATCAAACGGTGGTGATGGAGACGCTGCAATGGACCCGGATCCAGGCAAAACCATTCCCCAAGATAGATGAGCAACCGACTCACGCCATCGTCGTTAGCTTTAAAAGCACACCCTGGTACTTCTCTTTCCCGCTTCCTTTCAAAAAAAAAAAAAGGAAAGGAAGAGCCCTAAAAGCCGCCGGAGCTCTCCTCGCCGTCGCCGCTCCGTCGCCGGAGCTCTCCGCCATCTCCTCCGGTAGGCTCTCTCTCTCTCTCCCCGCGAACCATCTCCCGTTATCACGCGCGTGTTGTTCTCCGTTCGCCGCCCGATGAGAATCATCTGTTAGCGTGCCCGCCTGTCGATGGCCGCTGCGCTTTCGGCGAGCCCTCGCGGTTTTTTTGTGCGCGCGCGGGGATGTGCGGTCGGCCGTCTCGTTGCCTGAGGGAAACGGAGACGAAGAAAGCGACGATCGAGCTGGGTTTCTGGACTTGGAAACGTCGTCCCCGTGCGCGTTTTGATTTTTGATAGGAGCGCGACGTGCGCTCCGGCGCGGTTGGAGAAACGTCCCGAAATGATGATCCGTCGTGGTCTCGCTTTCGGTTTCCTGCGGATCGAACTTCGAATGTTTCGCGAAGACTTCGTTTCCATTTCGAATTCTTGATGATGTCCGGTCGATTCCGTTCCGAATCTGTTCTTGGATCACCTCGTGTGTCGGGGTATTGATCTCGGACTTCGAAAATTGGCGCGAGTTTTTGCGCGTGCATCCTGGTTGAGTACTCCTCTGGGCTGGAGCACTCTATTCGTGAGGGTTTTTATAGGAGAGTGAATATTGATGCAGAGACATGTCCGGTTTTATGGCCTAAAAATAACAGAGGAGTTGGAGCTAATAAACACAGAAAAATGTCATAATTTGCTATTTTTGACTTTGAAGCTCATAGCAACATAGTGATTACGGCTTGTTTACTTTGACTGAATGATTTCCAAGGGAGGCCCAAATGGCTTCTATTATCCCCTGTTCATCGGTTGAAATCGGGTGCCCGTGATAGATTAATCCGTGTCTCATTGTTTGTGATGCGGGGTCAGTTTTAGAAGTTATGTTTGCTTATAATTACTTTTTTTTCTTTTTAGAAGCAGGTCTGAGGAGTATCAGGAACCTGTTATTGGACTTGTTGCAAAGAGTATCATTGAGAAACCCAATACTTCAGTAGATGGCTAGTCACTCGGGGACTCAGAAGGGTCCAGCGACGCAATTGGTGCCAATTGCTGCTTCGAGGAAACCACGAATTCTGGTTGCTGCTTGTGGATGTGTGGGGGCTGCAAAACTTGGGCAAATCTGCCGGTCTTTTACTGATTGGGCAGAGGTGAAAGCCGTTGCCACAAGGGCTGGTCTGTTCTTCATCGATAGAGCAACAATTCCTAGTGCTGTAAATCTCTACACCGACAAAGATGAATTGTCAAGTTGGAGCAAACTAGGCGATCCCATCCTCCACGTTGAACTCCGTCAATGGGCTGACATACTGCTTATTGCTCCGCTATCAGCAAATACTTTGGCTAAGGTACTGTCTCTTAGAATATTGAAGTATTCTGAGCGTGGAACTGATGAAGTTTTATGCAGAGAGTACTTGTTTTTGTTCAATATAGTGCCTGTTGTCTTTTTGTTTCTCCCCTTTGGTTTTAGATTAGCTAATTTGGAGTTGATAGTTTTGTCTAATCTAGGGCATAGTTAGACAAGTAGGGTATCAAAGGAAAGAAGCGTGGGCAAAATTTAGTCCTTATAGTTAATTTTAATATATCTTCCTGGTCTTTCTAACGCATGTTTTGCTCAAGTAGAATCTCAGGAGCATGGATATCTGGTGTGCTGCATCTTCATTTTGGTATTGAAGCTTTCAAAAGAATTAAGTTCCTAACTCTGTGAAACTTTAGAAATAACATCATAGTCTTCTCTTTGATACTCCACGAGCTCATGGTAGAATACTCTTCTAAAATATGTCCTGTAGAACCAAAATATTGTGTGCTGTTTATGGCAAAGCTATGTTATTCTTGGTCAGTTCAGTCATCTTATTTCAGATTTTATACAGCCACTAAGAGAGCTCTTCTTTATGTGTTTCTGTTCTGTTCTTGGTCCATTTTTTAAAACTAGAAAATGCCAATGTTTTTGTGACGCAAGACAGAATACGTAGTCTATGTCCACATCTAGAGCTCTCGAATATATGAATAGAATGCGTTCATCTGTACCTGGTCGTGAATGATTTATATTCCTGTATAGTTGTTTTTAGAAGACACTCTGGTTTTGCAGATCCACAATGTGCACCATTCTTCTATCTAAAAATTATATAACAAATTTGGCGTGAGGCTATTCGTAGGTTTTTATGATGAATTGCGCAGTATGAAAGGCTTTTCTTAAAACTTAACTTCACTTTGCTTTTTACTTTTCTGTTCTATTTCTGACATCTGCTTTGTTGTAGATTGCTGGGGGTTTGTGCGATAATTTGCTAACTTGCATAGTCCGAGCGTGGGATTACACCAAACCGTTTTTTGTTGCACCTTCCATGAATGCCTTTCTGTGGAGAAATCCTTTCACAGAACGTCATCTTATGTCACTCGACGAGCTTGGGATTGCTCTTATTCCACCAATCTCAACGAGCCATATGGGAGATCATCAAACCGGTGCTATGGCTCCGCTCTCCACAATTGAGTCAGCTATCAAAGTTTACCATGAGACACGGCTTCTGCTTGCTGGCGGTAATGCCAAGCAGTAAGTGTGAACATCCAGAAACAGTTGGAGACTTGACTGATATGGCCATTATGCTCATTGTTGCCTCTCTTCTTTTTGGCGACCGGGTTACTCTTTTCGTACATAAAATGGTTCGACTGGCGTGTTGATGCTAAACAGTACCTTCATAAATCCCTCTGGGTGCGAATACTCGAATGTATACTTTCAGGTTAATGTCAATGACCATAGAACCTCAGTCAGATGACGATTCCTTTATCGCAACGCCGTGCTACATCGGAGGCAGTTGACAGTACTGTTCCTTTACTGCTTCTGTACTTCTATCTGGCTGTTGGATGATAAGCAATTTAAGGATCCCACTCATATCGGTAAAGACAGCTGACAAAGAATTTGGTTATCCAGGGAAGCCTTGTAACTAGACTTGGCTAGAAACTACGTTGCTCGACTTTTTATCTCCATCTGATCGAGTTTCACATTTCAATTTTGAGCTCTGTTTGTCAGAATGCTGATCGTTGATTCCGACTTTCCTGAAATGCCGGTACTACTCTGAATTCATGTTGTGTTTGACTTTGAACTCAAGGTGCTTTGACTCATGCTTAACCCGATCAAATTTGACTTGAACTCGACTAGGATTGAAGGACAGTGCCTTTGGAATCCATTCCGACATGGCTCTACGGTTGAGCACTTGAGCAGGGATAGGAAGTGGCCGCAACAGGACCCGGCTGCATCTATCCTCGTCTCTTAGGCCAAAATCGAGATACCGAGGATGTAATATAATGCCCCCTTTGTCCGAGCAGCAAAAGAACGATCTTTTCGTCCTGTCAGGTGCCCTAGCACCCTGGAGCGTCCCACATCAGGGACGGCACAGAACGTATTGACCATTTCCCGTGTCGATCCCACTAGCCGAAGCAAGATCGAGCTTGCTTTTATATCTGAGTGCTACGATCTTTGCATCGGTTCGGATGCTGCTTCACTGTCTTCACCTAATAAGAAAGAACCGCCACCATCGCAGTGTTGAAGCACCTTCTTCGAATCGTCTTGACGTAGTAGTCAGACAACCTTCGTTTTCGTCACTTCTGTTGCCTGAAAGTCTGTAAAGGCAAGATGAGGTCATGGTTTGCACCGTCGATGCCATCCGTACATAGAGTCGACGACTAGATTCGATGCCGGCAAATGTGCTTACATGCGCGGGGCCAAGCTCCCTCCATCCTCTCTCTCTCTCTCTCTCTCACATACGCGGGCCGCTACAGGAGCCACTACAAAAATATCTTTCAAAGCTATGTAGTACGAATCAAATTTGCCTCCACGGGGGTAATTCGCCAAAATTCAGGATGGAATTTATGATTTATGGTCGACGTCATCTTCTTCAATCGTATACGGTCCAGATTTCATTTCCCAGCAAGCATCAACCTTAAATTTCTATTAGTCCGATTAGATTCCGATCCCATACTAAAACAAAAAGCAAAAAAAAAACAACGAAAAAAAGAGATTCTCTCGAAATACTTTTCGTTAATTTTTTTTTATGCCTCACCTGTCTGTGATCGGCCATGGCCGCTCCACACAAGGAATCAAATTAAAGCACTAAAAATTCTGACCGGACTTTTTTCTAGCCGTTAACCGCCGCAGCCCGTTCAAATTCAAAACCAACCCCAGAGAGAGAGACGCTGCCTTTCAACTTCAATCTGCATCTCGTCGCACTTTCACGCTCGCGCCCGCTCTCCCGATTCCTCTCCGCCGCCTGCCCCGCTCCTTCCGCAGCCCCGTTTCGACTCCGATGGGCGTGAAGATGCACGAAGCGCTCCAGCCTCCGCCCGCCGGACCCGGACCCGGAGCCGGACCCGGAGACGACAGGCTCCGGCACAAGCCCGGCGGCCGGAAGCCTCTCCAGCCGAGGAACTCCTCCCCGGCCGCTCTTCCCTCCGGCGACCAGCCGAAGCCGAAGCCCGAGAGGATCGGGATCTCGCCGGTACTCCTCGAGTCGGACAAGGAGAACCGCCCCTATCCTCCTCCCCCGCCGCCGTCGCCGCCCTCCTCCCGCCGCGCCGCCGCGGCTCCTCCTCCTCCTCCGCCGGCGTTGGTGGTGGAGGAGCAGGAGCAGCAGCAGCAGCTGGACGCGTCGCTCGCGGAGGAGCTGGTCGCGGTGAGGAAGAAGCTGGAGAGGCTGAGGGCGGACGGGGAGAGGACGGAGGCGATGCTGAAGGAGAGGGACGGGTTCCTGGCGACCAAGGCGAGGGAGGTGGAGGAGCGTGGGGAGGTCCAGAAGCTGCTCGAGATCGAGGTGGATCGGCTGTACCGGTTGAAGCAGCTCAAGCTCTCGCTCGCGGTAAGCGCACTTCGGGGACCCATCATGTCGACGACGATGATTTCTTGAGCTTGATTTTCGAGAAAGCCTCAAGGGTTTTTTTTTTTTTGTGTGTGTGTTTCTTTCTTGCTGAATCCAGAGGGTGTCGCCGATTCGATCGCTGAGAGAGAGGTCTCACATCAATCAGGTACGCATGAACTCCCATTTTCTCGATCTTGTTCGTTCGAGACAAACCCGAACCACACCACGTTGAGCAGCAGACTGGATCAAATCCAAAGTTTGTTCAAATTGAACCGAACCGAACCGAATGTCGTTCGGCAGCTCGGTCGATTGAGCAGTTTTTGTCTCGCGCCTAGTTGCATCTTCTCTCGTGTTGATTAGGTTGCTGCTTTTTTTTCCTTTCCGACAGTACTGATGATTGATTTATTTTTTCTGGACGATTTCTTTTCAGGAATCGAGATCGGAGAACAGAGAGGAGTCGGTGGGGGAATGTGAAGCGCCGAGCCCGAGCTCCGTCTCTTCGAAATTGAGTGCAGACGAGGATTGATTCGATACGGGTTTTCTCTCTTGTATTCGGGTTTTGATTCGAAATTTGTTTGTAACTTCACTTTTCCTCGTTGAAGTACATAGGGGAGTTTTGGCTAAAGCAATCGCATGATAAGCGGGGTACGCTCCGCTCCACGGGGATTCGGCCGATTGCGAATTTGGAGTCGGCATTCTAGGAGGACATGGTCCCGTGTCATCGACACCACCCGATGGTGCTTCCTAGAGCCTTCTCCTACGAAGGATCCGTTCGGCTCTATCGTTTCGTTCGAGTTCTGTTTTTGCCGCCATGGCTTGTGAGTTCTTTACTGTAAACATCCTTAAGTCAGTTTCAATCCATCATCCTTTGGGGGATCATTTTCCCTTGAATCCTTAAAGATGGCTCTATACAAGATGAGTTCCTTCGAGTGGGTTTGATTTTTGCCTCTCTTGTCTCAATGAGCCATGTTCCATTCCATGCATCATAACCTCGCAACAATTGGTTTTCTTCCCATTGAGAAACGGGGAAACTCAAGACAAAAGTTCATCCTAGATGGTGCTAAAATCATGGCAAGCTTTGGAGCTTGAACATGTTCTCACTCGTTTCTGATTTACAGTCGGGGCGGGCTCTGTGTAGCAAAATCCAAGTTAGGGGTATGCTCACACCTGCTGTGTCGTTTCCCTTTCCCGGCTTTCATCGTTCGCACCATGTTCCGATTACCCAGAGATTTTTTTTTTACCATGACTGGCGCGACATTTTGTGAAGGGGGTTACCGGAGTTGTATAGGTACCGACCATGGCCGTAGCTTTAAAGCGCACCGTGCAATATGCGGTGAACATCTCACTAGAATAGGTTGGAACTTGGATGGCGTCGCGCTGATTGGGCGATTGCCGACTCTCTTGCTGGCGATGCATCAAGTGCAGGGTGCACGGTTCATGATAATACTTGGGGATAAGCAGAGCGTACCCGATTGCATCAACAAGTGAAATAATGTGGTACCGGTTAATAATCCACGCATAGCCGCCCCTAAACTGGCGACTGCAAATATTAATCTTCTCCACGAGGTGAATGGGAAGAGACCGCTTCCAGATTTAAGTAGCTATTTAAACTTCATTTGGATAACCGAAACAGGGGATGCGTGACACACATTACCAACTTGCAAGTGCAACAGAACTCATTAAGACAGATAATTCAACTCCTCGATGAACCAGTCGATGAATTCGAAACACTGCCCTTATCTCCGATTTGTACAGCGGAATGCCAGCAGAGGATTAGCATAGCACTAGCAGGGCAAACTCTAATGCACGATAACTAACATCCCGGTAAAGCTAACGACTCCATGTTCCCTGTGGGTGGACTTATGACAATTTTACCATACAAAATAACAAAGACAAGCTACTTAAATCCTCTCACTATAGAGCCCAGGTACGAAACAGACCACATCCTTTAAAACCAGCACATTACCTGTTTGAAACAGCCAACTCATTTTAAAAATCTAACATGCAAAACAGCAATTTCCACAATGGCCACAACCATACATTCGCGATGATTATGACAGAGAAAAGAAAAGTCATGCACTGCAAGCGGTAGGATTCACCTCAGAAACTCGTATGAAGGGCAAGCAAGCATGCTGATTGACTTTTACCCCAGTGAGCGCGTTTAACAATAACCAGTACCACGGAATTCATACAACACCAAGATCTCGATTAATATGAAAAGACTTCCAAGAGAAATTGATTAACGGAGTTATTTAAGATACAAACCAAGAAAAGCAGTTCGATGAAAAATAGATTGAAAGTCATTTAGAGAGTGGGGCGAGAATTAGCTCTAGCTACTACCTCTAATTAAAACAGAAAACTCTATCACCCAAGATAGGCCATGTCACCCTTACCACACTCAACCAATGTGGTTGAGATCCCCTGAACAAGAATTGGGGCCTCTTAAGGAGCACACTCCACCTATTGTTGAGCTATGAAAGCCTACATTAAACATGACCTATGGATTCTGCAGAGCGTGCATCCGCAGACAACCTATATTCTACAGAAGAGAACAAATGGAAGCTTACAAACACCAAATCAATGATAATGTACCAGACATGTGTTGGTGCTTGTCATCAGGACCTCAGCCACAACTGGACAATGCCCCCAACTAATCTTCCAGCAACAAACGAATACACGAGGACGGTCCCCTGAAATTAAAGATAACAACCCATACCACAAATGATCAGTAGCTGTTCCATCTGAATGGCTGGATTGAGCAAATCAGCAGAACTTCCAGTGGTTGTTACAATTTACACAAGTCACAAAAGTCGTCATAGGTTCATCTGCACTCCTAGTTTGCAATTGATAATAAGTAGTTTTCCGCTGGCCACAGCGACCACACTTGAACTGGTCAGTTGTGGCTTTTGGCGGGCCACCGCGTTGACAGTCAAACAAAGCTTTCTCTTTAATTTGGTGATTCTCACGCTGCCTTTGATCACTGGCCATTTCATCTGGGGTCATTGTGATGAGCCTCTCTGGTTTAACCTCCCCAAGAAGAACTTTCCTTCTTAGGTCCGGATTGTTTGGGTCCTTGATGTTGAACATGATGGATCGATACTTGAATTTTTGCGTTCCATTGGACCGACCTAATTTCTCAAACATGACAGATTCAACGGTGACAGCGACTCGGATTGGATCACATGCATTTACTTCGTCCTTAATATCATCATCAGCCTCACTGGCAACCTTAGAAAGTGCGTCAACAAGTAGTTCCCTAACTTTGTCACGGATAGAATCATTGCACTTGACCAATGCTGTCAACTTCGGAGGAGCATTAGACCCAGCTAATGGTTTGTTATTATTCAATGGCTGTTTCTCCTCTTTGGATATCCGCTCAACTTTGAAACCCCCTTCTCTGTCATTCTTCTCAGACATTAGAGTATGTGTGTCTACAACATTTTTCTCAACTTTGGTGGTTTGAGAACTTGAAACACTACCCAACTTGGTCGAATCACCTCTGTAAACTTTCTCAACTTTCACTGTTTCTACATGTGAAAATTTATCGACCTTTACTGCGCCTGCCTTCTGCCCCTTCTCAACTTTGATACTATCTGCTTTCTCATTTTTCTGCAACAATTTATCATCACTGCCGGACTTCTTTTTATTTTTGGCTGTCTCATCAATGATTATCTTCTTCCAAATCTCAAGCACATCTGCAGCCATTGTTTTAATTGTTTCCGTAGGATGTTTTGTTAGGTGCCTAAGCCGTTTCCCAACCTGAAAGGTATTGCCATCAAAGCATTCATGTGAGGATAACAAGAGAATTTATGCAAGTTTCTCAAATAAGTGAAAACAAACTAGAAATCAAGTTCACCAGTGGATTCCTCCACCATGAATGCATAAAACAACTAATGGAGTCATAATAAAGCAGGAAAGAACAGGTATGTTGGACAAGGACAACAAACTAAAAGCAAGTCCAGCGCTAAGATAAGAAACCCATGATACCAATAGTTCTCATGATCTTTTAATAGGTATTTTAAATGTGAAATTGTCGCATCCAACAGTCTCTTCAAGCCTATTATTATCCCCCTCAGGCAAAAGCAATTTTTTTGTTTTTGCTGTAAAATGAATATGCTACAATTCATGCTCTACTGGGCCTATGTATTCCAAAAGAACAGTGTTAGACAACTGAAAACCTGAAATTTCGTTACAGAGAACCATCATCACTAAAACCCCAAAAGAAAACAATTAATAGAAAGGATATGCGAATTGTATCAAGGAGGCTTTAGATGTTCAACACATTCTAGAAAGCACAGCTACAACTAGCTTTTACTCTAAACCACCACAAGATTTATAAATATGTGCACTGTGGCTGCATCAGCCATCACGTGATAGCATAGCATCGCTGCCTCCTTGGCCGTATCTAGGAAGCTGTTACAGCCAGTTAACCCTCCCCTCCCCCCCTCCAAAGAAAAAAAAAACAAAAGAAAAAGAAAAAAGAAATTGTAAATATTAGCTCTCCTTCTGGACTCTTACGACAAAATCCTCTCCAGCTGTCATTCCGCAAGAGAGCAAGTATGCATCCATGATCTAATGGCCTCTCCACTCTCACTCACCTAATTCTTTAAAAGAATCAGAGGATTGACCTAGAGGCAGTCCACTCTTACCAAATTTAAGAGATCTCATGGGCAGTGTCACTGCATCAACCATCACATGACAGCATCGCTGCCTTGGCCGTAATGGCCTTAATTACGGTCTAGAAAGCTATTACAACTTGTTAACCCCCCCCAAAAAGAAAACTGTGGAGTCGTTGCACCTATCAAATGACCTTCATCCCGGACAACCATCTCTTGTTTGGCACTCCCGTAACGGCTAAAGTTCCAACAATCAAGACAAAATAATATCACTCCTTATAGTATTGAATCCTTGACCTCGGCATAGTTTCTTAATAACTGCCCAAATATTCCCTTCTTTTGACAACTAAAAAAATCTATCCACCTACGACAGATGGCTATACGATATAGTAGAGCATGTGCTCCTATATATTTGGTGGGGAACACTTCTCTCTTTTAGGTGCCTCATGCGCGCATGCAATTTCCTGAGGATTTTTCCTTCTCTTGACAACCATGACCATCCGCATCTAAAAGCACCAAAATAGCCCAGCATTTTACTAAAAAGTACCATCAACAAGGTAGCTATTGGCTATGGAAGAAAAGAGAGAGAGGCGCGGCCTGGAAGAAATAGTCAACTGCCAACAATTGCTACGGCATTGCTAGATTTACTTATCCAACAAATACCGGCACACTGAATACACATAATAAAAAATAATGTCTTTAGAACAAGCTAAATAGAGAGGCCAATAGAAAGAGCTAAAAAGGATTTTTCTTGCTCTGCCTTATCCATAGGAACAGCACAATTAGCAAAGTACTCAATTCCAAAATTGATAGATCAACGCCAACACTCAAACTGCATCACTCAAATCAAGGAGGGTCGTCCCCTTCAAATTCTAATGTCTACCAAGCAAAAATCATAACCCTCTAATTCCTCAAATTGCATTCTCAAAGACTCATTCTCTACTCTACTCTTCAACCCAATTCTGCCATTCAAAGAAAATTTACCTGGGTGGCCACGAGAGCGTCGTACGAAACCGGGAAGCTCTTGAGCCGTTTCAGAGAGTCCACGCACCGGGAAACCTCGGGGCCATTCGACGGCACCCCGTCACCCGCCGCCGCGTCGGCGGCCTTCTTCGCCCTCTCGAAGAGCTCCACCAGCTCTCTATCCATCGAATTCGCGACCTAGAACCACATCGCCCGACCCAGAAATCGACCGAACAAGAAAGACAAAAGGAGCCCACATCAATCACCAAACCGCGCGCACGCTCAAAACAAAGCGAGAGAAAAACCAAGAAACTCCGACGGCGGTCCGTGCAAGAACCGGCCGGAACGGAGAGAGATCTGGGGAAATTTACCGGAGGGCAGAGCTACGGCGCGGAGCTACGGCGTCCGAGGAAGGTGTCAATCGCTTCGGAATACTCTTCAAGGTTTGCTGCCTTGTCCGCCGAACGATCTCGTACATATATATATGGAGAGAGAGAGAGAGGATTTTGACTTGGAGGAGACTTGACAGGATCGACGGTGGATATCGGGCTCGTAAGATCCTGTTCCGAGAACGGACGGCTGGTGATCGATCTGTGGCAAATCGGTCGGGTTTCCTGTTCAGTTGTGGTTCCGGGAAAGGATTCTTTTTGGTCATATATAGTCACGCTGATGAAATTTCCACATGCGGTACGAATTGGGGAATCCCGATTGTTTGGATTCTGCTTCTATATATAAAGATTGTAAATTTGATTATTCGAATTAGTGATTGCTTAAGAATCTTCTGGAATGCAAGTGTAAACCTGCGGAACGTTTTTCTCCGGTCCGGTTCAAGACGAGTTAGGAAGAGATCAGAGCCAAGAGCCCTAGGATAAGCTTCTCCCGACACTTAAAGCCATGTATACTAGGGGTGTATATAGAAACCGAAACGATCTGGGAACCGAACTGGACCGACTGATTCTGGGCGGTTCCTGATTTCAGGTGCGGAACCGAAATACTCGGACCGATATATTTTCTTTATTTAATTTTTCCTTTTCTTTTGAAGAGTCAAGAGAAAGATTACCAAAACCTTGAATCGGACCGGTTCAACTCAGGTTCCATCGGTCCAGTTCCTTGTTCCAAGGTGGAACCGGCCCAATCCGGGAATCGATCACCCAAATGTATACATCGGCTAGTAACGCTTACCTTTCAAAAGGGACAGCCGGCTATTTCTAGACAGTCGATGCCAACATGACCGAGGCCGATTCCCAGAACCACGGTTATCCTCGGTTCGTCTGAGATCGTGAACGGACGAAAGCTGCGCCGGAGGCGACTCGTCGGAGTTTGCCGGCGACCCTAAATGCTGGGTCGCACTCATTAATGTGATTACCAAGTGGTCCTTCTTGTGGGCCGGGCCTGTGGTTACTTGGGCTTGTATGAGTTCAGTGCGACCAGTGAATCCAGTTTCTTCCTTGGGCCTTCTTATTCACTTGTGGGCCCAAGTCATGGGCGGAGGCTAATCGGGTCAAGATATTTCGACCCACCATGACACAACATTAAATATTGATCTAGAGTAATTTATAGTATTTTTCCGATTGATATTAGTAAGGGTTAATATTACGAAAAACCCTAAACTGGTACATATATGACAAATTTATCCCAAACTAAATTTTTGACCAACAAAAACTCTAAATTGGTACACATGTGACAAATTTACTCAAAACTAATTTTTTGACCACCAAAAACCTCAAACCGATACACATGTGACAAGTTTACTCTCCATTAGTTTCCTTTAAATAAGATTAATATCAGGAAAAACCACGGTACACCTGTGACAAATTGAAGGTAAAACTCTAAATTGGTACATTCGTCAACTGCCACGTGTCATCAAACTTAGCAATTTGACAGTAAAATTTAATCGAAAGTAATGGAAGGTAAAATTGTCACGTGTGTATTAGTTTAGAGTAAATTTGTTACAGGTATACCGTTTTAGGGTTTTTCATGGTATTAACCATGTTAGTAATATGTCTGCAACCATCTCTTTACGAGGCATGCCACATCTAGGCGGCGCAGTACGAGCCATTTGACGTTTCGTTCATGATGCGAATCCAACTCATGACATCGTGAAAGAGAAGTGATCCTTTGCCACTCGGTCGCCCGCCTTGGCGATATTACGAACTGGCATGAAGTGTACTAGAATGCCAATCCCCATCAAGAATATCATATAATCAATCTTCTAGACCAGACAAAATTGTAAACTCACAAAAATAACAACAACCCTCTTCGACGACTTGATGCCCGACTCGTACGTCGCTATTGAAAGTCATCTAGAAGTCCGATGAGCATAAGCATAGTGACTCCAAGAATTGCTCCTTTGTCGAAATTATTGTTAACCTTCAAATAATTTCCCAATCGAAGTCGACACTAAGGTTTAGATATTAATTTGTGATGTAAATAATTATGCATATGGTTATTAGGTCACTGCATCTTTAGACCGGTCAAACTATACTCAAAACCCTAATAATTTCTTGGGTCTTCCGTTCATTGGCAGCGACAAGGTTGGAATATTATCATTAGGTCACTTCACCTTTTGACTGGTCAAACTATAATCAAAACCCTAATTGTTTCTTCGATCTTTCATCCATTGGCAGTATCCAGGTTGGAAGTTTATGTCTTCCGATTTCTTTTCTGAAGTGGATGAGTGTCACGTCTCCATCGAGCGGTACGATAGTAACACGATAGCGAAAATGATAATGTACAAGGTACGTATCGAGATATATATATATACATATATATATACATATATATATCATTTATCCTAAGGTATAGGACGAATGTTGGCTCAATATATTTGAATAAGATTCGTAAATGAAGTTTTCATTAGCTTACTTCGAGCATGTCTTAATTGAGAAAAACTCGTAAGCAAATGAAAATAGTTATGAGAAACATCGGTATCTAGTGATTGAATTTTGTTTCAATATTTTACTATCTGATAAGAAATCAAGAAAAATTTGAAGAACAAATATGAAATGGATTAAACATTGAAGTACTATTATGGGAGTATAATTTGACGCGTAATATATGTACATACATTCTCGTACCTAAAATAAAAGAGTAACTTTTTTTCATAAACTCAAAAAAAAAACACGAGAAAAATAAAAGTTTTAAACCTAAAAGAACTATGATAAGACTCAACTCACCGCAAATAAATCTTAAACCCTTCAATGCACTGCACTAAAAAACCGTGTCCATCATTAAGATCTTCAAATTTGTTCTCTAATGATAAGAAAACACTTTTCACTTAAGTAAATTCGTATACAAGAAACACCCCATAACCTCTTGTATTAAATAAAATATGAGTCGAGATTCGGACGAATATCCCTGACTTTTAGAATCGCTTGTGTTCGTCAAACGTTTTTCCGTTTTCCTTTGCATATGTCCAGATGCATTGTTTCAGTTCTACACTAACGTCATGTTCGACCAACGCTTTGATCTTTTGCCAAAACGAAGATAAGTTTATTGTGGGGGTCGACATCATTTCTTAATCATATATCTTCCAAACGTTGTCGAACTGTCTCCTTGGAAAAACAAATGGAAAAGAAAGGTGGTGGGCACAGCCCAACCTAATTTGCAGATCACACTAAATTTCTGATGGGACCGGTGTGACTGGTGACTCCATAGGACTACTACAACGTTGGAACTAAATGCATGGTATGTTACGGAATGATTGGAACACCGCAATCATCACGATCTGGTGGAAATCGAGGACAGAATTGCACTGAGCTGCAATCCTAAAATGATTCATGATGATTGGAAAGTTTATTTGGGTTTTGAATGAATTTGATTAAGGTAGCGAATGATAACCATTCTGTTCCGGAATAAGTTTTTGAAACAGAAATAGATTTTTCTATTTTTGATTTAAAGATGAGTTTCTGAGAAAAGAAACCCGTTTGATAACGACAAAAAATTTCTATTTTTGGAACAGAAACCCGTTTGATAACAGCACAAAATTTCTATTTCCTGAAACAAAAACCCGTTTGATAAACAACACAAAATTCTATTTCCAGGAACAAAAATCCATTTTTTTAGAAATGGAATAAAAATAATTAGAAAATCCTAAAAAATCCTAAAAATCTCAAAAAAATTCAAAAAATCCAAAAATATTTGAAAAATTCTAGAGAAATTCATCACAATTTCCAAAAAATAAAAAAATTCAGATTTCGGGAAAATAGGAAATTTGTTGAATTTTTTCAAAAAAAAAATCAAAAAATCAAAAATTTCAAAACTTCATAGAATGGCTTAAAATACCTGTGGCCACCCACTTTTAGTGAAATTTAAAATTTTTTAGGTGCCCAAAAAAAATCAAAAAATAAAAAATTTCAAAACTTTACAGAATAGTTTAGAATACATGTGGGCACCCACTTTGAGTGAAATTTAAATTTTTTAAGGCGCTCAAAAAAATTCAAAAACTCAAAAATTTCAAAACTTCACAGAATAGCTTAGAATACCTGTGACCACCCATTTTGAGTAAAATTTTAATTTTTTGAGTAGAAAAAAAAAGCAAAAAATCAAAAATTTCAAAATTCACAGAATGACTTAGAATATCTGTGGCCACCCACTTTGAGTGAAATTTAAATTTTTTGAGGTGCCGAAAAAAAAATAAAAACATAAAAAAATCAAAAATTATAAAACTTCACAGAATGACTTAGAATGCCTCTAGTCACCCACTTTGAGTGAAATTTAATTTTTTTTATGTGCCCAAATGGTATTTTTGATTTTTTTGATTTTTTAATTTTTTTCGGCACCTAAAGAAAATTAAATTTCACTCAAAGTGGATGACCACATGTATTCTAAGCTATTCTGTGAAGTTTTGAAATTTTTTATTTTTTGCTTTTTTTTCTTTTTTTCAGCACCTAAAAACAATAAAATTTCATTCAAAGTTGGTGGCCACAGGTATTCTAAGCCATTCTGTGAAGTTTTGAATTTTTTTTTTTTTTTTGCTTATTTTTATTTTTTTTCGGCACATAAAAAAATTAAATTTCGCTCAAAGTGGGTGGCCACAGGTATTCTAAGCAATTCTGTGAAGTTTTGAAATTTTTTATTTTTTTATTTTTTTCGGCACCTAAAAAAATTTAAATTTCGCTCAAAGTGGATAGCCACAAGTATTCTAAGTCATTCTGTGAAGTTTTAAAATTTTTGATTTTTTGCTTTTTTTCATTTTTTTAGGCACGTAAAAAAAATAATATTTCGCTCAAAGTGGGTGGCCACAGGTATTTTAAGCCATTCTGTGAAGTTTTGAAGTTTTTGCTTTTTTGCTTATTTTTATTATTTTTTTTGCATCTAAAAAAAATTAAATTTCTCTCAAAGTGGGTGACCACAGGTATTCTAAGCCATTCTGTGAAGTTTCAAAATTTTTTATTTTTTTATTTTTTTCGGCACCTAAAAAAATTTAAATTTCGCTCAAAGTGGATGGCCACAGGTATTCTAACACATTCTGTGAAGTTTTAAA